GGGAATGTGGGAAATTCCGCCTTTCGGTCTCTCCGATGGGTTTCATGAGGGCAAAAGATGTCTATGCAAAATACGCTAATGCATAGCTAATATCTCGATGGATGTGCGCGACTGTGACTCCATCCGATGGTATGCATACCGCAGACGGATATCGGAGTGGGTGCGTAGCAGGGACCATTGAAGGGTGGTTCCACATGATGATCTATTCGTGTGCAATCCAAGTCGTTTTGAGTTCACTGAGGCATGCTACATAGTCAGTCGGCGAGCCGGGCGGCCAACCAGCAGACCGGCCGCTCGGCCCGTCTGTCCCTTCCTCTGCGGGTATGCCGAGATCCCGTCCTCTTCAGATCGACTCTTGTCCCTTGGAGGGAGTCGCGGGGCACAGAAGTTGGCCAAAAAGAAGCGGCAATACAGTCTGAAGGCTGGCCAGCCAGGCCCAACCGACCAAGCAAGCGAGCGAGCAGCCAGCCAGCCCAGTCGTTCAGTGCATTTAGCTACGGATGGAGCAGCGGCGGTGAAAAACTGACTTCTTTGGGGTCAAATGATCCGCAAAAGAGCGTTTTTAGGCCACAGGATGATGGACTGCGGGCACTCAGGGCCCACATGGGGAGGAAGCCGACCCCGGACACAAATTGACTGAGAACCGAGTCGCCGCTGCCGCCGTCACCGACACCGAACACCACTGACTCCAAAATCCCGACTGCAGAGCCTCTCGGAAAAAGGAACAGAACTCCCTTCGGATGGCTATTGAGACGCTTTGTCACGACACTTCTTCGATCGGCCTCTTTTTTTCTCGAATTATTAAGCGCCCCCGAATCGCATGAATTATTTCTTCGGTTAGGAATAGCGTTGACTGAAACCCGAATCATTAGGCCGAATCCGATGCGTCATAAATTAAATTCGGGATGCTTTGCCATGTCGTTCCACGTCCAGGGCTTCGGAGGAAGAAACTTCGGCGACTCAAAATCGAAGTCACTCGTTTCAGCTCGCCCATCGCTCCCCTCAAAAGAATCCTCGGTCTATGTCGAGTTTTGACGTTCGTCTCATTGCTCGGTTGGCTAGCTTTCTGTCGATCACGGCGCTCGTGAGGGGCAAGCCAGTGCCCAAAGTCTCCCCATATGAGTCCCCATGCCCGAATGCATGGTTTCCTTTTTCTCATTAAAACTTTTTGCATCAAAATCGGCTATCCGTGTGCCTGGAGCGGCTGCTGCCGCCACCACCACCGCTGCTGCTGTACCCTTCCGAGCTGACGGTCCAGGTTGTCTGTCCCCAGTCGAGGTCCCCAAAGAGTCCTCTATTTTGTCTCCTCGCGATTTCCCCCTTTTGTGCTATTTCGTTGACTGACTGGCGGGCTGGGGGCGGACGGGCTGACGGGTTGGCTTCGCCCGCAGACCCCGTAGTAGTCGTGCCTGTGCCCATTCTGGTGGTGGTGGTGGTGATCGCGGGGACGGCGGCAGCCATAGCAGCAGCGAAGGAATGCCCCTCGTGGTCCGCACAGCAGTCAAGCCTCGCATATTTTGGCATTTTTAGTCGTGCACTCACTCGCGCCGAGGATGCGACCCTCCGCGCGAATAGGGAACAACGCCGCCGCCTGAGCTCGGAAGGCTTGACAATGAGGCCCTTCTTCCTCCGAGGACTCTGTCAACTTGAGAGGCGCAAGCTCCGCTGTTGAGGAATCTCCGAACGCAGCAGCCGAGAGGAGAAAAAAATGGAAGAATCTCTGAAATACCCTTCCCAAATCTAGCGTCTGAGCCCCGCATATCTCGCTGTTTGTCTTTTTTTCAAATGTATGCGGCCCGGAACATCTTCTTTCGCTTGAGATAATTGATATGATGTGGGAAATTTTAAATTCCTCCAGAACGTTTGAGTTGGAGAGAACATGATTCGTGGAAGGACGAGGAGTCTCATGGGTGGAAGAGAGCTACGAGGAAGTGTCGGAGCATCGTTTGTGACTATGCTGTTGCCTCGAGCTAAGTAAAAGGGAAGAATAGTGGTGGGTGGTGGGACGGGGTTAGCCGCTGGTGAGGTGGGCTCCTTATTTCTGTTCCCTGTCCCGCTCGTTCCCCACGTTTTTTCCAACTCAGCTTCTGATTGGGAGAATTTACGATAGCGAATAGCCCGCGTTCTGTTCGCACCCCTTTCGGCTGCCAAGACCGCCTAATTGGATCAGCAATACTGGCAACGATTCGCCACGAATTTCGAGTCTCCTAGAATGGATAGCGAAACAAGAATCCCGAAAGATACGACGCATAGTTTTTCGTCGGAGCCTCCGCTTCGCTCTGCAGAACCAGAAGCTTCGTCAGGTTCCTGAGAGGAGTTGAAGGGTTGAGGTTGAAACCCTCGTAGGGGAGCTCGTTGTAGCTTTGAGAGCAAAACAGCCAAGACAAGAAGTCTTGTCCTATCGAACGGGGGAGATAGGCGCAATGAGCAAGGCGGGCGATTCCAATTGAGAGGAATGATGCGCGTCCATCTACCTCGCGTCTGGCGAGGTAGCGAATCGGAGCCAGTTCTTCCGCAGACTATAATCAGGCGGGTTGGAGAAACTACGAGGTATGTTTGGAGACAGTTCTGGATATGAAGGGAGAAGCTGCCTCATCCGAATGAGCGGATGCTGAGAATCTAGAAGTGGGATCCCCCTCATTCCATGAGAAAACGGAGCAACGAATACAAAACAATACTTGGGCCTTGTTGGCAGCTTCCGAAATCGTCTTGCCTTTGGGCCAAATTCGGTGATGTGGTGTGCATTTTAAAATTAGGGAATTTCGTCTTTCCGTAGCTAGTGACTCAGTTCGACACGAGGGCGAATAGACGCCCGCTCTCTCCCAGGAGAACGAAGGACTCTGAAAGGATATCGAATGCTGGAGTTACAGCGGCTGCAGCCTTTCGCCCTAAACCCTTGCTTCCTTTTTTAAGGGGATTTCTACCCTAAAACTTGATGTCTCCGTGGCATCTTCCCGCCGACTAGGACGATGACTAAGCAGGAATAAACGCAAAACGAGCATCACTCGACCGCGAATAGAGAACTATATGTCGCAAATCTTCTTTCGCAACAATATTAAAACCTTAAGCCTCGGGACGACGGAGGAAAAGAGGAAGCTTCGGAGGAAAAAGTCTATTTATGAAATTTTTGCTTGAATCACTCGATGCGATAGTAGTAGCAGCAACGCTGCGCAGGATATGAACAGCCAGCATAATCAGCTGGAATTCCCCCGCGCGCAAACCACTCGAAGAGGATACCTGAGCGATCGCGTCTCTCGCTTGCTCCACGATGAGTGCATCAGAGATTTCGCTGGATTTCGTCAAGCTGGAGATGTGGTGGCATAGAGAATCTTACGTAGAGCGCCAAATATCCCCCGGTGTATGCCGATTCTCTCGAATCGATCAGACGATGAAGACTGAAAAAAATCGCTTTCAAAGTGACGCTCGAGTGTGCCACGAGAGTTCACGACCGAATTTTCCGATGGAGAGAATTTCGGGATGTTCAGAAGGTTTCTGGTCAAGCACCCGACTCGATCGATTGACCTTGGTTATTAGGCCTTCTCCCAATCGCTAGATGTATCTCTTTTCGCGGGGAATTGAAACTCCTCAGCCCCCGCGGAGACAACTATCAGTCATCACGGATCATATTCCTGGCCGTCGAATCGGAAAATTGAGATCGCTCTCTCACAATGAATCTGGAATCATTTTTCCGAAAACAACGGGAAGCGACAGGGGTGCAAATAGTCTATCATAGATCTATGCCACTGCGCTCCACAGTCCTCCGAGGAACGGGTGACCGAATCCCGGAAAGCGCTGAACACAATTTCAAATGGGCTCATCTCCCGTGGAACCTTGTTTCAAAGAATCCGGTTGGAAACGGAACGCTCGTGTAATGAAATTTTGTCAATCAGTACTACCGCCAAGTCATTCAGTACTACAGTGGCAAGGCCTCGCAAGATGAGTCGCCGGAAACTACTCGCTCTTGATCAGTAAGACTCCGTGTCAACGGGACCCGGAGCGACGACGCGACGCTGGCGCTTCATCGAGAGAGTTACTTCTACTCAATTTTGGCCAGCGCTCCGCGGCAGCAGTTGTGGATTTTCGATGTCTCATCAGAACGAGATCAAAACCCTTGGAGCTTCGATCTCAAGGGTTTCCCTCTGCGATCCAGATTCAGGTCGCCAGATGATCCCGCAAGATATAACCCGTGATCGATTCGGACTCTTGCATCAAAATTGCTGCGATAATCCGGTGTCGGATTCATCTCGGGAGATATACTTCTCATGAATACCGAACGATGCCCGAATCCTCGATCCCGGGAGCCCCGGGCTCTCTCCAAAGCGTGATTCTCCAGCGCTGCGAACCAGGAGCGCTAATTCGACTTCGGCCGGAGTATCTGAACTTCGGAATCCAGAGATGGGTAATATCCTCCATATGGAACCATGTGTAGAATCAAATCCCGTCACGATCATATGTGCATACTGTCCTGTTGACGACCCCTGACTCTCACAAGACACTCGTAGGGATAATAGGGATAGTAATCATTGATCAGAGCTGATCAAGGGAGTGTATCTCGCTCCGTCATTGCCTCGCAGAGCTCGAACACTTGTTCGAGGGTTTTCAGGGGCGTTATTTCCCCAATCCTCGAAATCATCTCCCCACTGAAGGTTCCGGCTCTGTTGAAGCTATGTCGGATCCATCGAGAGAATATAATGTGTGCATCTTCCGTCTTCCCTCGCGAGGTATATCATAGATAAGCGGACAGTTAGGCCTCACAGATCTCTCATACTCCCCTAGAAAATGGTTTTCAAGGCAGTGTTTCTCTTGAGAGTGCCCTCATCGAACGGAGAGATTGACCTGCGCTCTGCAGAGGTTCAAAATGATCCAAGCGGCCTCTCTCCCCAACAGCTTTAACGTGTCGTGGGCTTAACTGCGTAGCGCCTCAAGAAAGCTCCCACCTCCTCTCTGAGCACTGTTTTGAAGTGATCACTCTTTCCCTAGATCATTCCATTCGCTATGACAGTCGGTTGTGTCGCTCTCATGGCTTGATAGTAGGATTTGGAGACCTGGAAATTCGTGAGTCGTGGATTTTTTCCCTTTCGTTTGATTCTGGACCGGAAGGATTCTCCCGAACGAGCTCCCGACGGGTCGGGTTGTACGTTCATGGTATCGCCTACAGATTGATAAATCAGAGGAACTTTGGATCATCAGACCGAGGATTAGACAGAATAACACTGTGCCGGAGTACTCAAGGTGGTTGAATCTCCGATGTTCTAAAATCTTTGGCGAATCCTTTTGGGGAGGGTGATCGCGATCCGTGGTGATATCCTGCCGACATTGACCGTCGGCCTTGTGCTCAGAAAAATGATAGCCTCTATCTCCAGGGCTTTCCCTCGATCCCTCGAGTCATGAGTCGTGTCCTGACAGCACCTTTGAAAATGCTCTATCAAGGGATGAAAGAGTCGAACGATCGATGAGAATTAGGTTATGTTGGACCAACGACATGTTGTGTTGGTTTTGTGCGGTTGAATGCTCGGTGCAATCTCTTGCCGGCATGAGCTGATACCGCTCGTTCCAATCTGTTGCGCGCGGTCTCCGGCCTAGACGCAGTGACCGCGAGTGAAAGGAGCATGTCCTCTTTAAACGAGCTTCATGCCAAAGTCCACCGTGCGAGAGAGTCGATCCGCGAGGACCGTAAAGTGCAAACGGCTCCAACTGATCCAGTATGAGCGGTTGATAGCTATGATCCCGTCCCGTTGGTGTTAATGAGGGAGAATCGCTTCTTCAAGCAATGCAAGGGCGAGAGCAACTCATCCCCGAAGATTTTTCAGGGAGGTTCCCGATCGTAATATATCGCAGGGGCGCCTTGGAAGAGTCGTAGGACCGAAAGCCGCGTCGATATCTCCGGAGCTTGAAACCGTTTCCGCGAGATGACGCGCATGCTAGATGGAGCGAAGGTTCTGGTGGAGTCGCTTCGACGTCAGGGCGTGGAGTACATGTTCGGCGTCGTCGGAGTTCCGGTATTCGAAGTCAGCATGGCTGCTCAGCAAGTCGGAATAAAATACATCGGCATGCGGAACGAGCAATCTGTGAGTTTGGAAAATGAAGCTCTCCACATAATGTATCTCGCTAACATCTCCGGACTCTGAACCTTTTTCTGACTACAGGCAGCTTATGCCGCCGGCGTCATCGGATATCTCACGAAGCGACCCGGGGTTTGTCTGACCGTGTCTGGTCCAGGTGTTCTGCACGCCATCGGAGGTAAGTCATCTGTCAAGTGGGTCCATCGGATGTCAAAGAGATTTGAAGACCCCAATCTCCCCCCAAGAGAAGAAAACCCCAATTCTCAAGCATTGGCGACCGACGTTTAATTTTTCTCGTTCGAAAGGTCTTGCGAACGCGCAATCGAATGCCTGGCCCATGATACTGATCGGGGGATCGTGTGAGAGACAGCTGGAGGGTATCGGAGCTTTCCAAGAGTATCCGCAGGTGGCATCTTGCAGATTGCATACGAAGTACGCTGCGAGGCCTAGTTCCGTGGCGCAAATACCCTCTGTCGTGGAAAAGGTGAAAAGAAAAAAGCCGTTCTCGGGAAATATGCGTTCATCGATCGAGCATCCCGTAGTCGACTTCGTCACCGACTCATGCGAAAACTTGCGGATGCTGGAACATTGTGATGAAACTTCAATATGCTGGAATGAAAAATAAAGTAGGCTCTATCCTTTACTCAGGCAACGAAGGAAGCTTTGTTCGGGAGACCTGGCGCGACTTACATCGACATGCCTGCCGACATCATTACAGGTAAAAGCTATTCGTACAGAAAGTAAGCTCTGCTCATGCGTTACCCCTCGCACCTCAGCACTGGGGTCCTGCCGTAAGATGACTCCTTATGATAGGGTGGAGAACTTCGTGGAAATCATTCCTTTCCTGCTACAGGCGAGATAGAAGAGTCTCAATTGCACAGGAGCTCGGTCATCGGAGACAGCCCTACGTCGCTCGCCTGTCCGCAAGAGGTCCGCAAAGCGATCGATCTCCTGAGAGGCGCTAAGCGTCCTCTTATAATCGTCGGGAAAGGCTGCGCATACGCCAGAGCAGAGAAGGTGAAATATGGGCTCACATGACGGGTCTGATCCGATCCTCCTAAGACGACGGACCCGAAGGGAGTTCATGAAATCTCTTTCCAGATGGTTCGAGAATTCGTGGAGAAGTCCGGGGTTCCATATTTGCCGACACCCATGGGAAAAGGCGTCATTCCCGACGACCACGTCCAATGCATCTCACCTGCTCGCACAAAGTCTGTTCATCCTCGAGCTCACCCATCGAAGCTTCATCTCTTACAGTTTCATATTTTATGATTGTATTTGGAATTCCACAGGGCTCTCCAAGAAGCTGACGTCATCCTCTTGCTCGGGGCACGCACAAACTGGATGCTCCATTTTGCGCAACCGCCCAGGTTCAACGCCGGCGTGAAAATTATTCAGTGTGACGTGAAAGCTGAAGAATTTCATAACAGTGTTCCAAATGAAGTATCGCTTCTTGGTGAGAAGAAGTCCCGACTTCCCTGAGATGATATCGTATGAGTTGGCTTCGGCTGGTTTTCTCAGGATCGGTCTCGATACGGCCGGCGTTGGGCGGAACTTCGACTGAACATCGCGGAAATATCTTTTCTAGGTGATTTGAACGCTGTTTGCTCGCAGTTACTCAGCGCTTGCGATTTCAAACACGACGCACAGTCACAGTGGTTGACAAGTCTGAGAGCAAAAATGCAGATCAACGCCAAAGTTGTCCAAGGTTAGCGACCGCAAAACAATTCAGGAGGATCCTCCGCCCCGCCCATCATCCCATCATGATCATTGAATTTTACTCACATCAGTCGAAAGCTTCTCAAATTCTTGACAATCCTCAGGACTCATGGACTCGACGGCGATTCCGATGAATTATCATGCCGTGTATAAGATCATCAACAAATATCTTCCGAAGGACACGGTCATTGTCAACGAAGGCGCCAACACTATGGACATCGGTCGCACCATGCTTCCCAACCATCTCCCCCGACACAGGTGCGGATCATGCTTGAATCAGTGAAGGATTTGGGAAAAGACTGAAGGAATGGATTCCTAATTAGTGGCTCGTGTCAAACCCTCAGATTGGACGCCGGAACATTTGGAACCATGGGTCTCGGCTTAGGTTTCGCCGTTGCGGCTGCTCTACACAACCAAACGGCGTATCCGGGTAAACGCGTTGCATGCATTCAAGGAGACTCGGCATTCGGCTTCTCAGCCCTCGACTACGAGACCGCTGTTCGATACAGACTCCCTCTGATTTGTATCATAATCAACAACAACGGCATCTACAATGGATTCGATGAGAACACCTGGCAACAATTCTTGAGCCAAGGTCAACACGAAGGACTCGTGTAAGTGCGCCAGTCGGGGCTTACTATCCATCCTTCCTTGCAATATGGAGCTTGGGTAGAGCCTATACCTTTCGGGACCTCTTTCGCAGTCTGCCACCGAACTCTCTGACGCCTTCGGCGCGCTACGAGGAGATCACCAAGATGTTCGGCGGTCAAGGATTCCACGTTACAACGCATGCTGAGCTTGAAAGCGCGATGAAGGCCGCCGTCGATACGAAAGACCGGCCGACGGTCATCAACGTCATCATCGACGGGATGGCTCAGCGTAAACCTCAGGTCGGTGACTGAAACTATGTCATGTCGGGAGTTGCGGAAGTAGCAAATGTATCCCTCCAGACCCAATGTTCTGAGTAAGTAATAATACGTAAGTAATAAGCATGGTTTTCCTCGCAGGACTTCGAGTGGCACACCAAGGCGAAAATGTGAGGCCTCACCGAAGGAACCTCGAGCGGGTAATCGTACCCATCGTGGGCGAGTGATCCTTCCCATCGTGACCGGGTAATCGAACGGATCGTGGGCAAGTCGTCGTCCCGTCCTCGAACGATTGCTCGACTACTCTATGCTACCTGTTCAGCTCCAGCAGCCCAGATCGTAGGCCCCTGCTGCCCGGGCTAACTGTCCCTGCATCTCGGTGCAGACTGAATCGGTTTATTATGAATATGGAATCTTGAATTCACCTCTAAAGATTGAAGTGGATACTCCGGGATTTGAATCGACCTTATAGTAGAACTTAATAATTTACTTTATATAAATACGGTCATCTTTATTCGTCCATTAAACTTTGTCTGTCATGTCGAAGTTTTGTTTCAGGATCGACCATTGTCTCAAATAAGATTACCCTCCTGACACCGTCCCAACTTTGACTTCGTTGATTTCTTCACCCAACTTCACGGAACATTCCATCGGGGATAGGTTTCTCGGAAAATTCTGAAGTTGCGGGACATCCGACAATTTGATTTTCTCGACCTGTTTTTCGGAATCGAGAGTCAGATTCGAATCAATAATCAAAATCAGGATAAAAATTGCTCATCGTGTCCTCGGAGGAAGAGGGAACTCCGCATTTGTGTATCCCGGATCCTCCGATGAACTGAATTCTATAGTCGCCGGTGTATTGGAGTACGAAACCTCCCGCTCTACGGATGCAGGAACCGAAAGACCACGCGTTTCCCCTCCTTATATTTACAATATAGATCGCTGACTCACTCGGCTTTCTCACACCCTACTTAAAGCCTCCCTGACACTGTCTGTACGCTATACTTTGCAACGCGCTGCCTCAAAAGAATCGGCCATTATTCTGCTGGGCGTGGAATTTTCTACACACAAACTTCAGAGAATTCGTAACAAGAAGGAACCAGGTGATTCAGATCAGTTCCTCCCTTTTCTGCGGAGATCGCCTCTGCCTGCACGATTGATTGCTTGTCTACATTGTATTTACAGAATGCGAATAAATCCCTACCTACGGAAACTCGAAGAGGAATCGTGAGTGGAAATTCATTCATCGAATCACCCGAATCACGAATACGAATGTCGATTCTCAGCGACCGCCGGAGCGGAAAGCGGATTTTCGCCGATATCTACTATGTACAATTGCGGCACGATCGTCTTCACAGAGTTTCCCATTCACAGATTTGAAGAGATTCAGGGTCGTCTTCCGCCCAATCAGACTGACGACTGTTTGAGAATAGAAGCGGGATAATCCGACGCGGACAGAACACGGGCCTGCGTGATTTTCGCGTGGTTAGCTTGATTCACAGGACAGCCCTCAATGTGCGGTGTGGCTCTGAATATTCCCTGCGGATTGGAGCCTTGCAGATAACTGCCTCCGTGGGTTCGGTGCGGGGGAACCACAGCCACTGGAACTGGGTTGTGTCCAGAGCTACGTCCTGGAGAAGAGAAAGACGCCGTTAGACAAAGTTCTGGCACGCTCCGACGTGACAAGCTGGGGGAGCACGGTGCAATCGAAAAGCCCTCCGTGAATACAGTAATTGAACCCATCGTTGTTGCAGCTCAAGCAAATCAGGCGACCCGTCAGGGATATGAGGGTTTTTGTGACTCAAATCATTCATCTGTGCTTCTGATTTGTCGTCTTCGACGTGAGTCTTCGATGAATTCCATTCGGTTGGCCAATCTCTCGTCGAGATCACGCTCGAACACATGAAGCATCCGAAGCCGCAGAAAGGTGAAGAAGCGAACTCATGAGAAATCAGAGCGATCACAAGAATTGGCCAACATCACGCATGCTCGACGTGATTCGCTCGCCTCCGAAAGTAGCAAATATGTACATATGTAATCGGCCCGATCGGTGCTTGCAACAAGTGACTGCTTGATGCAATGGCGTGTCCAAAGAAACCGGTCGTCTGCCTCTAGAACACGAACAAGTGACTCAAAAGCCTGTCTGTTTCTTTCTTCGCTAAAAAGCTCGGAACACGTCACTAACTTCACTGCGCCACGACGAGACCGAAACTTGTCACTCGTCAACAAAGTTCCCAGTCACATCCCCTCCATAGATGACAGGCCTGGTTGCAACATCATCTGTGGATCTGAGACAACTCCTCGTTTCATCGTCATCTCCTATACATACGAATGTGAGCCAGTTTGACCTCGATTTCGGAACGCTTCCACAAGGACCGGCTGCAAGGTGTACTGGGCTGCTTGGCGGTACCGAATTTTGGGAAACCGAAATCCCCGCTCGTTACCGCGCATCGTTTCTCGGAGGAGTAAGAGACGGAATCTCCGCAACACTCTCCTCCCATGATACGTCCGCATCCCTGGAGCTTTGAATTATTTTCGGCCACCGATGATGCGCGAATCGTGTAGTCGCCGTCTCAAGCTATGGGCGTACCTTGTAAGTTTTGTGGCAAAGTGCCTGCTCGGTTCTCATGATGGAACTGCCTCAGTGGTTGTGAAAGGTGAGGATTCCATGTTGCGGGTGGTGCGGATATGGCTCTATGCGATCCCTGGCCTCCTCCGTTCGAGCCACGGCCATCTCCACCTACCATACGTTCCACTCGATCCAGTTGACTCAAAGGAATCCCGCCAGCCGCAACCTGCTGCGAGACCAAACTGTGCTGGGAGCCATTCTGGAATTCGAAGTATTCCCCATGAAGCCTTCGACTGCTCCCGGAAGTCCGAGCCACATGGTGTCATACTTTTCCGAACTTGAAGGAAGACGCCCGACGTACATAGAGCAAAACTCACCTTCGAGCTTACGGTGCTGAATGGCCGTATGGCTGTGATTTTCGTCCCGCTATCAACGAAACTTCTGCGCTCGATGAGCGAAGGCGGAATAGGTGCACATAAAACTGCGCCACAATTAGCCCAACACGAGCCTAAACTATATGGGTTCCGGACGTGTTGACCGCGTCGTGACGAAAACATGCCTTTGATCTGGAAAATTTCGAGAAGAGGCGATTCATATCGTTAGTGGAGACTCATCTTTCAAGTAAAGGGGAAGTTTCCATGGGAAACCGCGGAATCGATAGCCCGATCAGCAGCCCGAGACGAATGAATGGGAACTCACATCTTCGTTCGTGGTCTGGTTCGCCGTGGTGAGATACGTATGAAAAGCGGCCAAGCCCAGTATACTCCAAATCGAAAAGAAACAAATGATGAGCTCGACACACGAAGCCGGGTTCTCTCTGAGAGTATCGGGCAGCGATTCGTTCCGTCGAGATTCGTAAATGAGTCTTGTGACTACACACGAGAAAATGAATATGCACAAAGCCGCCAACGAAATGATGAATGTGAAAAAATATCGATAGTTCCGCCGTCCTACGCAATTGCCGACCCATGGGCAATGGTGGTCGAAACGATCTGAAAGTAAAACAACATGATATTCAAATGCTCGTCCCTAGAGACGGTCGGAGTGGAGACTTCCCGACTGTCTCCATATGTAGACGGCTGAAGCTGATTCTCTGCACGATGAGGTCCCGACCCGAACGACCCAGCAGCGCGGCGGAACGTGATACCGTCGACGTAATGGTTCCCTCTGGTCTTCGCCTGAGTTGGCAGGAGTGATTCGTCCGCGAAAACTCCGCCTCGGAAGCTTCTCGATCCAGTCTCTATGCTCTCAGACACGGAAACTTCAGGCCAGGGGTTTCGGACTTGAATTTTTGGCGGGCTACATTCGAGCTCCGCAGGTGCCCGCGGGCCACATTAGAAACCTGATTCCGTATAAAAGGAGAATATATGCCGATTGTCCATACGAGAATGCTTCCCCAGCCTCCAGGAATCGAGGGAAAACTCGCTTGTCCGGTCTTACGGAGGGATTCATTCCACCGATCTCATTCAATTTCCAAGCTCTCATTCGGAATGGTCGAGTTCGAGTATGTGGGGAAATAGTGGTGGGCCACAGAAAAAGACCTCGCGGGCCGCATGTGGCCCGAGGGCCACGGGTTTGACACCCCTGCTCCAGGCCCTCGAGAGCAGCGAGATATGGCGGCATCGTTGGGCGTTTCATGGGAATACGTACGGTATCCTCTCCGGATACCCGTACGTGGACAGCTTTCGCCTTGAGTACCATTTTGAACTACGTACCAACACAGTTGTCACAGAGGCTGCAGTGGGAGGCTCTAGGAGGTCGAAATATTTTACAGGTGAAGCAGTATTTGAGCTTGACAGTCTCTCCGTGAATGGTGACTTCTTTTGTACGCGGCGGTGGCCGAAGCGGAGTTCCAGTCTGACCATTTGGCACTTCTGTAAAAATTATAATTGAAATAATGTACAAATGGGCTCGATTGAGGAGTTCTCTGGATGCTTGAATCTATGATTAGGAGCATGCTTCGGATGCATCGCCGCTCAGCCGCTCGAAGTCAGGAACATCACCCGAGTACCAGCCGTCAGAAAGCTAACGCGCGACACGCTCGCGAGCCTGTCACAACTTCTTACGTAACCTGGGTTTCCTGGTGCATCTACAAACTTTCATCAGTCCCTTTGTCAGAACGCTGATGTTTGGTCCGGACGGGCGGACGGGCGGACTCCCGCATCAAGCAAGCGATCGGGAACCTTAACCTCGATATGCCGACCCGCAACACGATTCCATCCTGACATTACAAAACGACAATCCATCCCTAACATATTGTTCATGGCGATCGAGCTCCGTGGGACGGATAGGAAGGGAATATGTGAGAGCGTCGGAAGCTCACGCTTCAGAAATCGGATCCTGTCCGTCAGTGTAGAAGTTGAAGGAACAATCTCACTCAGAGCGTCCCAACCTCCCCACGGAAAACTCGAAGAATTGGTCCATGGGACAGAGAATCGTGACGTGGCAGATAATTCGATCTCGCTTGACTGTAACCGCGAAGTCCACCGACAGGCTTCAGTGGCGGAAGCTCACCATGAACCAACAGTAAATCACGCCCTGACTGACCATCGTCGCCACCGCCGCCAACGTCATTCGACATAACGCTGACAAACAAGAGACCCACGGATGGCCATTCGTGACGACTAAGGGATCCGTTGCCATATTTAGGCGGGATGCCCTTCGGTCGTCAAGCTTTCATTGCGATCGGCCGTCGACATTGAATGCAAGGATGAAAAATCGGATGTACGATATGGGCGCGTACGAGAAACTTTCGACGGGATTAGGCGTGCGCTCGTGAATCGTCGGTCGTGTGAGGGTGTATCTGCGAGCGATAGTATGTAATTGATATTATTTAGCAGCCAGATGGTCAGTCAGCTGGCAGCGGGTACATGATATGAAAAGTGGCCTTTTCGCTCCGTAATCACTTGTGTTCCGGGCAGATGAGAATGATGGTAAATCACCTCTGCGTCCGGATGGATTCGAGGATATTCACGCCCCCAGGGATGAAGGATGCGGAAAATAGTTCAAAGCCCATTTACTAAATGCTTGCGAGCGGCACGAGCTTGAGGGCGAACTCTCAACAGCTCACTTCCCAAATTAAATGTTTATTCTCGCGGAGAGGACAAAAAGAAGGTATGCCACTCTAAGTATTTAAAAATAGCAAGCGCGTCGGACACGGGGCCTCAGTACCTTGAATTGTCAAATGCTGTGAAGCACTTGACAATTGTTGGTACTGCGGATTGATTGCATCGAGAACTCGGCTTGAGAGCGCGACGGAGGGAATCAAGACTCTCATCGGCTGAAAATTATGATTCGTTCGGGACGTGTGTCCTTCACAGTCCAGGGACTTAGCTCATCCTTCCGGAAGGGAACCGCATCTTTCGGGATCCGTGGACAGCTCCGTGGCTTCTCCCGCGTATTTGGAGAAGTATCTATTACTTAAATTTAGCGATTCTTTACGACTGATCTAGAACGCCGAGAATACCTCTTCTGAAAGTCCGATTATTCTGCTGGGGAGGACTCCGCCCAGCCTCGTTCTGTTCCAGTCCCAGAAACCCTTGTTTCGAAAGTTTCTCCACAACGTGACCTTACGAATGATAATGAGACTCTGGACGAGAAAAGCCTTACGTACCGATTTGTTTCTCAATATGAGCTGCTTCCTCGGCGGTCGCTCTCGGTATGATTCCGGGATCGGAGAACGAGGTGCGGAACAGCGAAAGCATAACGAATATTAAAAGCGCTCCCGCTGCGGCTGGGATCCATCGGCCAATATTCTCGAAAAGGTAAGGACAGCTGAAATGAAGAAATGAGAAAAATTCGTGAATGGGAATCGGAATAATCATTATTTTTGTTTGACGGCAAACTTCCACCTCGGCTCAGCCTCTACATCGAGGAATAAAGTCAAGTCGGCTTGGAGTCTTTGCATCACTGCGGGTAGTCTTATTCGAATCCTTCGCATCGCAGACATGCCGGTCATTGTCAAGCATGCTCACTCTTCTGTGACCGACGCTCTTCGGAAAGACGTGAAATAGTGGAATACGCCCTTGAGTGAAACTGCGATCCTGATGTTTGAGAGCAAAGATAAGCTCCCTCATTCTCTTTGCGATTTCTTCCTTTTCCCAAGGAGAGGACGACAGAAATCATCCGCGTCTTCCGAAAAGCCGAAGATTCACTGAAAAACTCATGGAGAGAAAACGAAGATTCCAACCAAAACTTCTCAGCCATAGCTCAACATCAGGGACTTGAAAGCCACCGTGATGAAGTGCTCATTCGAACAAGGTACCTAAGCTTTCGGTTTTCTATTTAGAGCATAATAGCTCCAACGATCAAGCATCTGTTTCTGTTCCTCGGAACTCTGCATGTGACGTTCGGAGGATTTGACAACAAATCTTTCTGTTTTCCCAGATCGCCTGAGCTTCGGAGCTAAGCTCGGGACGGATTCCCGCAGAATAGCTATAGCAACAACGATGACAACCAAAAACTGTGTCAAGACTCGAGACGTTCCCAAAAACGTCTCGAAGCCCACGTGCGGGAGAAGCGAGCGGCCACAGGATTCCTTCGTCAGAAACATCATCTCTCAGGCGTAACAATACGGGAATCGTCATCGACCTTCGTCCTACGATGGGAAAATTAGGACTCACGGCCATATTGTCGGATAGTATCCATGAGCATCGACTTAGTGGAAACGCGACTAACGCTCCACTTTCCGACCGAATAAACTTGAACCAAAGGAGGAAGAGCGATATTTCCATTGACTGGGATGGAAGCGACAGAAAATTAGGATCGATACGATCCCACAGTGGCAAGGATTCCGATAAACAGGGAGTCTCGGAGCATTTCTTGCCAACGCCGGACCATCATTCAGAATTAACACACCCAGACAAAGCGCGGAGTCCCTCACTGTCGTTTATCCCTGTGATCCTGGGGTCAACACCCCGAGCCAGATTGAACTGGATCACGGTAATCGATCCGCGGTCGGTGGGCTTCTGGCCACTTAATTTGCTGACCAAAGTGTGAAGAGCGCTTACGAAAAAAAAACCGATTATGTATGGTGGTTAGTATGAACCGAGTTTTTTCAGCTTCGTTCGATCGAGAACTCATCGAGAACCTCTCACGGAGACACGGTCCGTCCGACTCGATTTGGGGAACTCGCCCTTCGACTTCGGGATTCCTTGAGATCCTTCGCTCCGATATCCGGCAAAATTCTCCCCCAACTTGTAGCGGGTACCCCGTTCTCTGATCAAGTTCTGATTCGGATTAATATTAGTTCAGGGGCGGACAAGAGTTTCGACGGCGACAGCTCGCAGAATGATACTGCTGACACTCTGTGCGTGTGCCTCGGTGACTTCTGAAGTCCACTGACCCCGAAAACGGGAAACTTGCTATCATCGCCCAAGAAACTGAGTGGAGAATGGCGGTTTCGACAAATCTTCACGTCTGAACTCCTTCCCCCTAAGCGTGCATCCCAGCTGGAGACACTATATGGTAGTCAACCTGACTCTGAAGTCACCTGTCAATCGCTTGAGTTAATCACTCTCGGAATCGATCAGTGCGCCCAAACAGAATCGTTCCGAGGAAACAGCGGCGTTCTAATCCTGAGGAGCAAGAATCATGATCACGGTACGACGGAGCCTCCCGGGGAGAATATCGATCCGAACGATACTTACTCAAAGACGAAAAAGAGCGTACAAGTCCCGATAATCAGAACGCAGGTCAGGATGAACACATGCGCTTGCTTGGCCATTATGATACGACCATCACAATAGAACTTATTCCTCCCAGGGAAAACCTCGTATCGCTTCAATCGACGTCCTTTGTGCTGCCTCGCGGGACCCCGACGGGGGCCCGAAGGCTCTTCGTGAGGCCGCATCAGAGGAGGTGTTGCGATCTGCCTCATTCCAAACAGATCTCCCCGAGATCTCCTTTATCGCTCATCCCTTCACGCATCCTGGAGGAAGCTCCGACAGATCCTCTCCACCCACACACTCTATCCACGATGCGAACACATTAAATTTGAGGTTTTCGTCGAGTTCGCCACAAAGAACACATATGCACTGACACCCGAGGCAGAGTGCACTACTACCGCAACACAGAAACAAACCATTCGAAAATCGTCCATCGAGAGCTGCTGTCGGAAAGGGAAACCGATCCGCTGGCTTGGCGGGCGTATATTCGAAACTGTCTGGGGAATAATTTCGAAGAGGACAAAATCCCTCCGAATTCTCGATCGAACTTACATGTGAACACGATCACGGTCCCGGTAGTATCGAAGGCCTCCCTATTCACTTTCTAAAGGGGAAAATAGAAGCTGTCGGATGGGGTTCGCAACGCATCTTCTGTAGGAGCTATTCGTCCTATGTTTGAGCATAGAATTAGAAATCAGTGTTTGAGGAATAAGACTTCCTGGTAGACCGTCGGGATGGGAGGTTCGCGATGAGCTCAATTCTGGAACGAGGAGCTCAATTCTGGAACGAGGAGCTTAATTCCAGCCCCCACGGACGGACGCGTACGTCGTAAGTCGTAAGGTCTCCCAGGGGCGGTCTCACTCACGTCTGCGTACTGCTGCCTTGCTGATCGTTCTAGGACCTTCTAGGGAATCGACGTTCTTCGGGAGGAACGCGCGCAGAGTCCCTCTGCATTCACGAGCCCTCTCATCGCTCCGCTCTGATTCTTTCTCACGATCTAAGTCCGGGTAAGTGAAGTTGCTTGCGATTCCCTCGACCGAATTTCAAACAGCGCGCTCGTCGGCCTTCGTCTGCTCCCTCCGAAAAATCCGTCAGCCGCCATATTGATTACCACCGTGTGGCCTAGAGTCTCTGTTTGCAGTCTGTCACCAGTCACCAATCGACCATTCGGAGAGGAGTTACAAAACTCCCTTCGATTGTTTCACCGAACACTGAGAGTGAATTGTTCACCGCGTCCTGATTCCTAGCAGGATAACTTCCGTTCTCTAACAAGCTCCGCAGTTGGTCGGGTGTCCTACCCTATTCAGGTGTCAAGATGTATCAGACTCCGGGCGATATGGACCAACTGGCCCAGGTACGTAAGGTTTCTTGATGAGCAGTCTGAACAGATGGAAAGAGGTTTCGTCCTAATGTCCTGCGAGAGGAGAAGCCGATTCCTCCTCCTACTTACTTATGACCCGATATGAAGGCAAACGCCATGTCAGAACCTAACAATCATGCTCAAGGACTCGTCATTTGCTTCCCGATTCCGTGAACGTTCAATGGGGGAGTACATGTAGAATGAGCTCGGGAAAATCTTTGTCAGCTCTGCATGGCTCCGATCCGGGGTTCATGGAATGCTAGCGATCCGGAGTCCATGAGGCGACAGGCAGTTGCTGCCGATCAAGTAAATGAGATGACGTCAGAGCTCTGAATCATTAGGCGAGTCCGTGTATAAGAAGCGCGAAGTTCCTCACCCTGTCGTATCAAGCTGATCGAATTCCCCGTCGGTTCGTGTACCCTGAACCTCATATCTCAGTAACAATATTCACGACCCTGAAAGCTCAATGCATCGCGTAGAGCCGACATTTGGAATCAGAAAGCTCAAAATTCGATCTGACCGAGAGTAAACTATTTCTGAACGGATATAAGGACCAGGTCGAGTTGAACCTTGGCTCTCACGGGATTCTCTCGATCAGCTGATCGCTCGAGTTCCGGGAACCTGAGGGCCGAAAAGTAAGGCACTCGATCTCGTGATAGTTTTGATGCAATGCGTCTTCCCTGTCATCGTTTCTTCTAAAGCCCTTCTGATTTAGAAATGTTAGGAGCCACGAGGAATGAGCGGCTCCTCGAATTCGACCCGGAAGGGCTCTGTCTCTGTTGTTGACTAGGAGCATCAACAACGGGAATCTCATGACGTATCTAGAGATTAGACTCTCCTACGTGGACCGCTAATACCTCGCTCATCACGCGCCCCATCGCCTCTCCGAGCGGGCGCGACTTTGCCCGAGTGGAGAGTCAGCCAGAAAATACAAAATGATGTCCGGTCTGACTGTGAGGCAACCGTCTGCAAGAGCGTTCACTGTTCTTGATCGGATAAGCCGAACTTGATGCAGGGCATCTTGGAGTGTCGCTTATGCAAAAACCGCGGAAGACGCTGTCGATCCCTGGTTGAGCTTGTGGCTCCTTTTTGTCCTTCGGGCTGCCATGTGGTACCGTCCGGTAGATTAGAGAATCCATCGCGGGAGTGCGAAAGTCCCATGCCCCTGTTGTGAGCCGAGACTTTCTCGTCCGTTCTCGCGATAATTCCAGCGACCGGACCTGATCCCCCTCAAAGGAATTGCATGGGAAATTATGGAATCGCTCGATCGCTCCATTGAGCGATCGTCTTCTTCACGGCGCGAGCGAAGCCGACGGTTGACCATTCTCGTATCGATGCCGAATGACGCACGGGTCAGCGGCGAGTTCCTGTAAATTATGTTGTTTCTGAGGATGACTGTTCCTTTTCAGACTATCACCACAAACATCCGCAAAATATCCCAGAATGTGAACTCTATGCAACAGATGATCATGCAGCTGCAGTCGGCGCCATCTTCCGACAATGAGTCGGTGAGGCAACAGCTGCATCAAATCCAGAACTACACGCAGCAGCTGGCCAAAGACACCAACAAGTCTCTGAAGGACATGTCGCTGGGATCGAAGAACAAAATACTCAAGGAGCGTCTGGCGAGCGATTTCGCCGATGCCTTGAAAGCGTTCCAGAGCGTGCAGCGCAAGGAAGCCGAACAGGAACGCGCGGAGGTCAAGCGGGCGCGAGCTGCTAGTCAGAGAGGAAACCTGATCGAGCTCTCGGGGCAGTTGCCTCCACCTCCCGGCGGGAGACAACAGCCCCAGGGCGGTTATCAGCAACAGGCTCTCATGCTGGAAGAGGAGTCCAATCTCGAACAGCTCCGTGAGCGTGAAGAGGCCGTCAAGAATCTAGAGCAGGACATAATGGACGTGAATGGGATATTCAAGGAGATCGCCACGATGGTACATGAGCAGGCTGTGGCAGTCGACTCGATAGAGGCGAACGTCGACAGCGCGACAATCCGGGTACAAGAGGGCGCGGAACAACTATCTCAAGTGAGTGCACTACTCCTCCAGCCCGATTGGGCTCTGCTGGGAATGAATTTTATGGGCCGCCTTCCGCGCCGCGTCTCGGAGCTCTCCCGCAGAGCTCCGAGATGCGATTCGATTTCCATTCTGCGTCTGGATCCACCTGATGCGAAAATCTTTTCGAACGCCTCCTTCTCTTCCAGGCTCGGGTACAGCAAGAACGCGCTCGCAAGAAGAAACTCTGCCTGGCGTTCACCGGTATCATAATTCTGGCTGTCATCATTCTGCTGGTTTGGTTATCGGCTCGTTGAGTTGATGCCTCCTCCAAGGCACCGACATCTTACGGCCTGGTTCCGATGGGTACTCGCTGCGGAATCTCCTCTCCTCTCCGAGAACCTTCAGAAGCTGGACAAGAGAAAGCTAGACTTGACCGTAAACCAGAGCCAGCTCCATTATTTTTAAGTTGATCGATGTGGTTCTGCTGTCGGATCAGACCATGGGGGGAGTTCATCGCAAGATTGTAAAACTGTAAATAGCTGTCGTCGTCAGCTTCCGGCACCGGAGATCAATTATCAATCTTATCAAATTTCCCTCTGGAAACTGTTTCTTTTGGTTATCGAGTGAACACTGAATAAAATGTTTCTGAAACTCCTCGGCGGGTGCTCGTGCTTTGTGGTCATGGTCCCGGAAGGAAACTCAAAAATCAGTCTTCAACCACAATCACCACTACCATTCGAGCTCGAGGCGCGGGCTTCTGAGCGCAGGCGATTCGGGGATTGTCGATCCGGCCGAAAAATCGTTGCGGTCACCTCCGAATCTATCAACGATGAGAACGGGTGATGAATAAGATCCCGTCTGAAAGACGAAACGACTACGAAAACATGGGTATGTACAAGCCTCAGGCCACCCATGCCAGTCGAGTACCTTCTCTCCCCTCCCTTGTGCGTCGTCGGCCGTACGTGGCGACCGGAAGGCGCTTCCAGAGATTCCTCGAGAGTGTGGGCTTCATGCATCGGGAGAGGGGTGGATCGACCGAAGCAGCTGCTATGCGTATCGCAACCGAGCTCAATCGCTTGAGGTCATCGGCAGGTTGGAAATAGATATATCGCCCCTCCGTCATGTGATATCATCCCGCCCCTCCAGGAGAAAAGCGCATGGCTGACACGTCCGCCCGGCGTATTCTTCCCCTCCGTGAAGATCATCGCCATCATTCCGTCAATGATTTACTCGCTCCCTGGGATATTCAGGAGAAAGATAAAGTTTTCCGTGCTGTGCGAGCTCTGAAGCTGGCCTCCGATTTTCGAAGCAGCATCGAGCCGTTCATTCCCTGAATTACGAGGGACGGCGCTTCCCGTTCCGCGTGTTCCAAATTCTCGACCGGAACGGAGCGATGTTCGTGTTCACTAGCAGCAACAGAGGTCTCTTGGTCTATACCTTGAATGAAAAACAAGAAGCAATTCTCCATTCTAAAATTGATGAAGAATGCAAATTCTTCGAGAGCGCCAAGGATGGGAGCATGCTAGCTTATGTCAACCGCAAGGTGAGAAGAATCCGAAGTGAGGTGTCATGACCACATGCCGCCTTCTCTTGTCTGCTAACACATGGAACAATTCGAAACTCGAGAGGCTGGAATTCCTTGCGAAAAACAGATCGACATGAACAATTTCTGTCCCGAAGAGCACATGTTTCTCTAACTGATCGAGTCGGATTCGAGGATTTTGTCCAGTGTAAATGACGAAATTTATTTTCCGCTCGTAGGGAGTCCACCTGATTGATGTCCCATCGCTGAAACCGATTAGGATCATCGCGGCGGAAAGGGTCTATGGCATTCAGTTTTCGCCGAAGTTGACGTATTTGTCATTAGCGACAACGTATCTCTGCAAGCCTGGAGAACAGCCGAAGCCCAATCTATTCATAATCAAATGTTCAACCGGCGAGATCGTGCACTCCTACGTGCAGCAGAAGCAAGCCGAATGGGAGCCGCATTGGTTCAGCGATGAGAGTTACTTGGTGAGGAGCTTCAAAAACGCAGTGATGCTCTACGATCCCGCAGACTTCTCGAAAACAGCGAAGCAAATCAACATAGAGCGAATCTCGGCCATATCTCTCTCACCGCTAGTCAGCAAGAAATATTTCGCGAGTTACGTGCCTCCGAGCGGTAAGGGTCAGCCGGCATTCTGCCGAATCTTCAACCTCCACCAGGCGGATGCCGTCGCGTCGAAATCGTTCTTCAAATGCGACAGTGTACAATTCAAATGGAATGCCAAAGGAAGCGATCTCCTCATCATGGCCACCAGTGAAGTCGACAAGAGCAACACGTCTTACTACGGAGAACAAGCGCTCCACTATGCCAATGTGAAGGGCGATAGCTGTATGGTTCAGTTGAAAAAGAAAGGGCCGATACATTGTCATGAATGGGTCAACGAGAACTTTTGTGTTGTCTACGGCTTCATGCCCTCACATACGACGATTTTCAACCTCAAATGCGATCCGGTCTGGGACCTCGGACCGGGCCCGAGGAATCTCGTGTACTTGAATCCGCAAGGGAACATCTTGCTCACGGCCGGCTTCGGAAATCTGCAGGGCACGGTAGAAACTTGGGATCTCGAACAGCAGAAGCGTATATGTCAAATGAAGATACCTGACACGACCCATCTGGAATTCGCGACTGATGGGATTCATTTTCTCACAGCGACTTTGGCACCCCGACTTCGCGTGAACAACGGCTTCAAAATTTGGCATTACAGCGGAGCTCTCAAAACCGAGATCCTTCCGGTGAAAGACGACCCTGATAGCTTCGAAGAGATGCGGTCGGCGTCGCTACAGAAGGGGCCAATGGGTCCTAAGCCGACGATAATCTTCAAAAAAGTCGAAGGCATCGCACAGTCACTTCCCATGCCTTCGAAGCAGGCCTACAGACCGCCAGGCATGAGGGCCCTCGAAGAGTCCAAGCCCGCACAGAAAAAGCAGAATAAAAAGAAGTCCAAACCGAAATTTGAGGAAGCTCAACCGCCTACGCCGAAAGTCGACCCGTCCATCACGAAAGCGGACGACGATGAAAAAAAGGTAAGCGTCTCTCATCCAAGCTCTGCATATGGGAGGATGGGTTCTTCCATCCGTCGATCTTGTTTCTACGTTCTCGATGATCACACGATTCATGAATCTGCCGAGAGACTCGCGAACGTTCTTATTTCCAGGCGCGAGCAATCAAGAAGAAACTATCCCAGATTTACGTTCTGAAAGCGCGTTTGGACGCTGGTGAGGAATTGGAACCGGAGCAAGTGGTGAAAATCTCGAAAGAGAAGGAGCTTTCGGATGAACTCAAGCAGTTGGAATTGTAAATTTGAGGCGAATATAAATTAAGTTTTGAAACAGAAAAATCGTCTTCACTAATTCGCTACGACGAGCTGTGAGCAGAAACCTCGCAAAGGAATCGCCACATGGACCGGAAACGAGTTCCTGTGGAGGGAATGATAGAGAATTCGTATCGATGCAACACAAATCAGATGCTTCTCGGAAGCTTGCGTTGAATTCTCGCTGCCATAAATTGATGAATCGAATCAGCAACCTTTATTTACAGAATTCTGCGTGGATATGTCCTTGGGAAAAATATTCACTCCAGGAGTTCGAGGCTCTCTCGAAATCAAATCTGCTCACTCAAATTGAAAAAGAGCTATATACAATTAAGACTGTACAGTACAGAGTTCGACTATTAAACTGTAGGCTTATCCTTTCGTGAGAACCATTGTATTGCATTGGATTTAACTTTTTTTTGGCGCGAATCGAACGAAACACTGTTACGTCCCGAAGATGGAAACAGACAACTTCAAATGGAAATCGTTCCACTATACACAGCAGTCGAGCAGGTATTCTTCGGGCTCAACTTTCTGCCTCAGAATACTGCTCAAGATAAGTTCAACATTATATAAGGGTATTTGATTTTCGATAAGCTCCTTGCACATATAGAGATCGTCTTCACATGTAATACAGAAGAACTTCGTTTGTGGATTCTCATTCACTTGGTTGATGTGCTTGATCGTGGGTCTTTTGTTGAGATACATTGAACCGCCGGCCGACTCGATGACGTCCTTCAACACGGGGATCGTTGGAAGACACCCCGGCGTCACGTAAAACATGCAGCCCTTCAGGGGAGGGGGCGCACAATGCTGTCTCTGCGCGTAGATGTAACGCAAATTGAAACCGAACTGATTTTCGGCGTCGGTGTCTTGCAACCAATAATCCATGGGATCTGCGAGCGTGAATCAGTGGATTAGACACTAAACGACGCGAGTACTGAGCACCAAAGGTGGGGATCGTTCCCGCTTTCCTTAATTTTCCCGAGGGCAGCCGCATCGACTCCACAGGAACGGTCCCCGCACGCGAACGTATCGTGCGTGGGGAGCAAAAGATACCATGACCCTTTTTCATTACACTCACCCAAAAACGTATTCGCTTTGTGAGACTCGTGGACCCAGTCCGGGCTGCAGATATGTTTCACGTAATTCACGGCGCACATCACTTTGATAGTTCTGCAGAACTTCGGAAGTACGAGATGTGTAGCGTCTTTCGCGGATTTGGCAATCTGTCCGCCGAGCTGAAGGACCTGCAGCAAAAAAAGGGTCCGTCGTGATTAGAACATCTCCAGCGGCGGACGAAGTTCTTCCCTCTCGCGTAACCTACGGATTCGACGACGGGGAAACACACGCAGAAACGACGATTAACAGGACTCACCATTCGCTTCAGCGGTTCTGGGTCGATAATGCCGGAGAATAGGACCACCGGCCGCTGTCCTTCGGACGGAGGATTAGGATTCGTGACCGTCACACAATTTTCGTCGTTCGTCGGCTTTTTCTTTTTGTTGGCCTCGCGCTCCGCGATTTCTTTTTACGTTTCTGAATCCCCTTGCTGACCTCTGACTCGGAGAAAGTTTTCCAATGCTCATCAGTGACTCTGATGGGAACCTTCCACGCGACTAGGAGCGGTTGAGCGATCCCGAAGTCTATCCTCGTCGCTAGAACCTCGGTATCACTGACCTGAAACAAGGACGTCATGAACATGAAACATAAGCGCTCCGACAGGACATCCTCCACATGAATCATTCGCGCGAGAAGCTCAGGAACTCACTTGATATTTGTGCGCCATCGGCATCCTGACAGCTTCATAATGACCGAGCATGACGTCATGAAGCCATACGGCGTTTACACAAGTCATGTTCCATTCTTGAGCTTTACGATATTTCTCCCCGTTCTCGTTCCACCGCCGAGATTTGACGATGAGTAGAGAATTCTCTCGCGTCATACAGGTGGAATACTTGGCACCGACCTTCCGGATCATGGTTCGGATTCGGAGTCTCTCCTCTCCACTGAAGCCTGTCGTCGCGATGACATGCTGTTGGCAGGGCATCTCACGAGGTCCGTAGGCCGTGGGCAGGTGGAGGGCTTGCCACGGAGGAACCATCTTGCCTTTGAGAACAACGTCGTTGATCCAGTACAAGGTGACAACTCTTTTGCCCTCGACAACCGCTTGTTCCACGAGCTGCTGACCCTGATGCTCACACACTACGTGCGTGACCTGCGCATCGTACGCATCGACAACGACCCCGCCTTTTTCGAGACAGACCTCTCGAGCGATTCGGATCTGCTCCTTGCTGAACTCTTGCGAATGACTGAACGCGAAGAAGAATGTACATCCGATGAAGAGAACGTCAGCCGGAACGGTCGCCGACGCCTCGTGTCCAACCAGAGCCTCTTGCGGAGCCGAGCTCCCCAAGAACTCCGGGCGGACCGCGCGAACCGGGGGTCCTGGCGGTCGATAGGCCACGGCTTGAGGTTGGAGAGATTGGTTCGGGGGAGCCTGTTGGCCCTGTTGCTGAATCGCACTGTCCGGAGCCACGGCCTGGTAACGCATGACGCCCTGTATCGGGGCCCCCATGGATCCTTGCTGCATCGGACTCGGAGGGAATCCGATTCCCATCTCGTTTTGTTGACTGCCTCCCAACCGATTGTTCAGGAGGTTCGCGAGAGCGGTTTTGGTCTGAGGATTGACTTTCACGCCGGGAGGCGGCTGGCCCTGGATCAGGGGTTGACCCATGGAGCCCACGAATCTCTGCTGAGAGATCTGCTGGACTTGACCCGGTCCCATTGGCATCCTCTGTTGATTTTGCATGGGCATGCGCATCTGTTGGGGAACCATCATTCTCTGTCCGTTCTGAGCCATTGGGCCCTGTACGATTTGAGACGCCATCTGGAATATCGGAGTTAATGAGTTTGACCCCAAGAATGATTGGGTGTGCACATGTCGACCAGACCCGTTTCGCTTCGTCCGCTTTCACCACCCGAGCTACTGTGAGTTGTGTTATGCATTATATCGAGCACCGCACACATTAGGGAAAAACTGCAAACGCCTTCGACGATTTCTTCCTGGGCGGCGTTTTTTCCACTCGTTCTCTTTCCCCCAAATCAATGGAGCAGCGCGCTTCTCGCTGTCTTCTACCTTGTGAACGGCGGTGCCAGGTGCTGGCTGTGGCTGGGGTGAAGGTGATCGCAGTATTTGCGGACCAAGCGGCGATTGGTGAACTGAGACGTTTTGCATAGAACGCATCTGCCCATTGACAATTTGCGCGTTTTGAGGAAGATTCGATGAGTGCGTCGTCGCGAGAAGCACCCCGACCCGACCGGGCGGGGGCTGATTGATCTGGGCAGAATTCGCCGCGTTGGCAGGGACTTGATGCTGCTGAGGTGATTGCACCGCCACCGCTGCAGGGTGCGGTGAAGTCCGTGAAGAAATACCAATTGGACTAATCATGTGTCCGGGGGGTCCAGCCATCGACTGGATGGGTGCATGTGCGAATTAGAAATCAAAAGCAGAGTTAGCTAAGCTTGTTAATTGGGAGAATATCACGGGGGTGTTTCGTTTGTCAGTCAGTGAGACCTGTCGTCGATCACGTCACGATCGCAGAGGATTCCTTCCCACCTGGATGCAGCATGCAAGGCCTAACATGAGTGCATCGACGACTCGAGCGAGGCGTGTTCGCGTGCCAGCTGTTCACTTCCAGGCAGAAAATTTCCGTGCAGGCAGGCAGGCAAGCAATCGTCGAGCGGGTTGAGGCTCGAAAGAGTTCCAACCAGCAGTTACAGAGAGCAGTTCACGGGGAGAAAAGTAGAGGAAGAGATAGAGACAAGATCACAGACTCCTCTGAAGCCTCCGCAGCACCGCAAGCCACCCTCGATGTACCTGAGAAGGAGGAGCAACAGGAGAAGGAGCTTGACCGCTCTGGGAGGGTGGTGTCGGCTGTTGAGTCGGTTGCTGTTGCGGCTGCTGTTGCTGGACTGCGGTATTCGCTTGCAGGGAGGGGGGATTTTGGGAATCACCACTTGTCGGGCTTGACGCTGGAGCCGCAGATGGCTGCGCGGATGACAAGCCAGGGGACTGTTGCTACAATCAACGAAGCTGCTGCTTTAGCCAGAGAACGTTCATTCATTCATTCATTCTGTCCATGGACCTCGAACGATCATACGCACAGACAGATCGTCTTTTAGCCAATCATACGGTCAGACAGAACGCGACAGGCTGGAACAAAAGTACCGAAGCGGCCACGAATTTCGTCTCCTCGAGGGGACGGTATCGGAGTCTCTCGGGTTGGACCTCCATGTTGGGAAAGGTTTCGGGGACGGGAATACAGACAAGAGATGCGGGTTCGCAGAAAAGACTTTAGCTGGTTTTAAGGTTTTCCCTTGTTGCCGCAAGCAACACTTATACATGACAAGGCATTTGAGCACGAATTGATGACTGGGACACTTATTTGTGAGGAACAAACATTCCATAAGCAAAAGAATTTACGATTCTGAAACGAGCCATCTCTATCGACCACATATCAATGATGATCGCTCAAGGCGATACTCCACAGAATCCTCGCCGACCAACCACGTAATGGCTAGACCGATGGATCGCGCAGCTCAAGTAAAACTCCAAATTGGAAGGGAAATGCTACATTGGGACCGTCGGTTCCGTGCTCATATTCTCGGCGACTTCGGTTGCGATCACAATAGATTCGCTCTTCTAAATTTCGAGGTCGTCGATATCGATGGTATATGCATATCAAGCTTTCGCTATTTTCGAGGGCGCCTGAATTCGAGCGAACTTTTTCCGACGGCCTCATCCACTCGGACCATATACCGTCGGTCTTGTTCGTCAGGCTCCTCTCATGCGCTCGGGTTTCCCGGAACTAAAAAGGTCTCAACCAGGTGTTCTCATGATAATAATCGAGGCGGATGACGATAGACCTACCTGTTGCATCATTTGACGTCTTTGCATTTCGACTCGCTGCTGATACATCGCTGGAAATACGAAAGAATCTGATTAGCGAGCTTGGAATTACGGAATTGAGTTTGCCGGGTCAAGAAAACTATCCAGTGATTCCTCCCTTGATGGAGAACTCGGTGGTGGTAGATGAAATTCAGCTGTCCTAGGGACATGGCCTACTCACGATCTTGCTGAACTCGCTGCTGCATCATGGGGTCTTGCTGTTGCCATTGCATCGTAGGGGGACCCTGGGGACTGACGCCTGGAGAAGTCTGACCCGGCATCTGGTTTTGTTGGAATCGCCACTGCGGATTCACGCCACCCTGGTGCTGGAACGAAGTAAATTCGGAACATTGATACGAAGTCGACGTGATGGCCACCGGAGCAGAATCCGATGAGGAGCGCTCATTCGACGATCATTCCATACATCGCCGCTCTCTGAGCGTTCCTGAGCAATGATTAGATGAACTCCAGAATGCGAGATTACGTCGACGGAGAAAAAGTCTTAGAATGCATTGTTAGAAAGGGAAAGACCTGACAGTGGTTCGACTGGATTCTCACGGCACGAAACTAGGCAGCAACTCATCTCCGGATTGTTCGGAAAACGAGGGAAATGATAATAATTCGAACGGCTCCATGACTGTCAGACCATGATTCTGATACAGCAGGATGGAAACGAACGATGGGAAAAAAAATCTCTCTAGAAACAAAAGGGCTTTTGTCTTGAGATTTCGCATTGTTCCGAGGAGCGAGAATAAATCTCGAGGAGTAGGCTCCCGCGCACTGACCTGTAATTGTTGTTGCTGAGACTGTGGTCCTTGCTGCGGCCGCTGCATCGGTTTCCCAGGCGCAGGGGGGCCCATCGGTCTCATTTGGGATTGTTGCACCTGTTGCTGTTGCTGAGGAGACATCATCATTTGTTGTCCCCCCTGAGGGATCATTCCTTGATTTGGATTTCTGATCTGTTGCTGGACCCCTTGGCCACCCTGGGGTCCCATCATGGCTGGTCCCCCTGATTGATTGATAATTTGGCCTTGCGGTCCCATCATCTGCCCTCCGGGCTGTCCCATCGGCGCGCGGATGCGCATTTGCTGCAGCTGCTCCGGGATCGCCACCACCAGACGCTGTCCGTTCGACCCGGGCGTCAAGACCATGCGATGGCGCTGCTGCTTGAGAAATGAATGCTATCAGCCCATCGAGCAGGTAAAACAGAATGAATGTTTTTTTAAAAGAGGAAGACTCCCATAGAACATTGGAGAAAATGAATTTAGCGCTCAGGCGAATTTGTACCTGTCGGAGCATTTGGACTTGTTGGGGCGTCAGTTGTTGTCCTTGCTGACCAACCCATTGCTGCCTTACCATCTGCGGAGGTCCCTGAGGGTTTTGCAGGGGCATGCCGTGCTGTTGCAGCTGAGAGGACTGTTGCTGCTGCTGCTGTTGTTGTTGCTGTTGTTGTTGCATTTGGGGACTCGGGGACAATGGAGGTTGCTGCACTACTTGTTGTTGCTGCTGCTGCTGTTGCTGTGTCTGCATCTGCTGTTGCGGCTGCTGCTGTTGCTGGAACATCATGCGCTGACCTTGCATCACCACCTGTTGGCCCCCGACTGTTTTCCCGCTAACCATCACCATCTGTTGTCCTTGACTCATTGGAGGTCCGTTGGGTGTTGGAACCCGTTGGCCACCTGCCAGCATCTGCGCCAACTGTCCCTGCATGTTTGGTCCCGTATTTGGTGGCGGCTTCTGCATCGGTTGAGGGCTCTGCATAGGTTGAGGACTCTGCATCGGCTGCGGGCTCTGCATTGGTTGCGGACCCGCCATACTCTGTTGGACTGGAGAGGCAAGTTGGGGCGGCGGGGGAGTCGGGCCCATAGAGGAGACGCTTTCCGGTCGGGAGTTCACGATCGGCTGGGGTTGGGGCGTTGTTGGAGTCGTTGGCACGGGCGTCGTCGACGGCTCGAGCTGTAATCATCGTTCCATAGATGTTCAATACATTCCGTGAATGTTCAAGGAATTTCGCACATTCGGGACGCAGGGGAAATGCGGGTACACAGGGCTGCGACCTTCAGCCTGCCGGTTGAGGGAAGCAGGAATACGAGGAAACGTTCGTCTCACCTTTATTCCCGCAGCTGGCGGAGTCGGGGTCGAAGCGGGTGGAGGGGAGGGTTCTTTGGACGTAATAAGCAGCGACGGATGATAGGCCTCACAGCAGACCAACTCCTTCCGTGCGACACAGTCCGCGATCCAATCAGGAGTGACTATTTCGATGTCTTCCAGAGCGTTTGCTTTGGAATATTTCTCGCCGACAGTGCTGGAACGATCACGACGGTGAATTTCAGAAATTCCGGAATGAAAAATGAAATATAAGGATATTTACTATCAGTCAAGAGACGAAAAACGGAGGAGTAAGGCGCATCATCGACATCACTTTAGTGAAAGCCGACTGCTGCTCTCTAATACTTTGTGACATCCTCCTTACCTTGTAGTGACTAAATGCGAGCACTTCGAGTCCATGGAAAGCTGTATCTGACCTCCGTTGAAAGTGATCATCGCCCACAAGGAGCGCAGATCGGTTTTCTCCAATTTCGAAATACAGAAGGTTTTGCCATGGAAGAGGCGATTTTGAGGATTGAATCCCTCGAGAGCCAAGAGTTGTTTGGCTTGAATGCACATTCGAACCCATCGAGGCTGGAATGATGATTGAACGATAAATAAATCATTATCGGATGAGTACTCCACGCGCGACTCATAACGCGTGATTGGCGATGAACAAGCTCAGGGAGCAACCTGGAGCAAATACGCGAACTCCGGTAATTCCCTCAGGGGGTTCGCTGTAGACTCACCGTGACGACAGGTTTCTCGTACAAGTCTCTCGCCTCGGAAATGAGATCAGAGTCGCCCTCCGTGTCCTCCACGATAACATGCGTCGACATGTCCGTGAGATAATTATCGACACGGCCGCCATTGGACTCGATCAAAGTGACGAGACTCCCGTCTTCTGAGCTGGCCGGGGAAAGGCAGAATCTGCACGAGGCAAACACGCCTGCTTCACCCTCGGCGGTCATGGTCTGCAAGAGGAGTCTATCTGTTATCTGATGGTCCTCCTGGCTCATCGATCGGATCCGCAAAAAGTTCATGTTCACAGAGCACCCGGCGATGAGGATCATCGTCGGGAAAGCGGGGAGCGCCTTAGCGGACGACTCCACCGCTCTAGGACCTCCCCGTCGACCCGAGCTGCGTTCGAAAGAAGATCTCAGACGGAGATTCGGGCTTGGGGAAGGTTCCGACGAGCTCACCAGTCGGTGCGGCGGCACTCTCAGGCTCATAGGAAACCTCTCGCCTCACGAGCACTTTTCCGAATGCGTTCCGGTATAGATTCAAATCAAGGCTCCCATCAAGAAACCGTCATGCGACCTCGGTACTAAGAACTATCAGGAGGTCGGCAGAATCAGTGCACTTTCGAGATTGACGGCAGCCACAGAAATAGCACGGGAGAAAAACTGTATGAGGGGTGAGCGCTGCGAATGCTCCGCGTAAGTTCAGCTGCTCTCCAGCGGCTGAAGTTTGAACTCACCTCGCTCTCAGCCGACCTCACGATCGCTGCACTAGTCACAACCTTCGATGCAGATCTCGCATCGCAGATAGTTTCCTTCGAACAAAAAGAAAGCTGCGAATCCCCGCACCACTATTGATGACGAGAGAAAGACAACATCATCTTGTGATTGTTTGGGCGCTAAGCGCTGAGCGTTTCCCGCTCTCGCCCTAAATGGTGAGCGGTTCAGACTGACAAGTCACCAACATGCTCACTGAACGGAAGAGTCTCCAGAATCCATCAGACGACGACAATATTGGGCTTGGCGTATGTGTGTAGCTGGCTCATTGGCTCCCGAATTCGGGTAGATCGCGAGCAAGTCTCCCAGCGGACTGCTCGTCCGACGCCGGGTAGCTCGGAGAAAGCGTGAAAGGCAGACTTGGGGTTTAGATTTCATTGGTGCGGCTTACCCGCGCCGATGGCGCTGCCGACGCTACGTTCAGCATATCACCGCTTACTCGAGAGCCCTACGAGAGGTTTCCTGCTGGAATGCCCAATGCGAAAAGAAGCAAGCCGCACTATGCCAAAGACATGACCGGAGATTCTAGAGAACACGACGTGACCACCTCCGGAAGTAAATCTTGCGTCTGAGTATATTGTTGGGCCACGGTGGATGACTCCATTTCCCCTCCCGCCTGCCCGTACTCGGAACTTGAGAAGAGTACTCTTCGAAAACCTTGAAATCGCTGCACGCACTGTCAAAAATATTCGTATCCTCTTCCGGGGAGGGGAGTCAAGTATTGTGTAATTGAGGTTGTCGATAACCCTCAAATCTCTAGAAGAGAAACACCGCCTGCCTCATACATTTCATGCATGTCCACGGTGTCATTTCGGGAATGGTAATCCCCGGTCCGGGGGAGTCGGTGGTCGCGCGTTCCCCAGCTACAAGACGCGAAATCCTCAGAGATGATCCATCAATCATGAAGTTCCGTCTGGACTCACTCGCTCCGATCCCTTGCTATAGTACTATGGTCCTCTTGCATCAAACAATGAGCGAGGCCGAAATTTCATTCGGAGAAGCCATATCGTACCGAAATCCCGCCCGCGGATAGTCTCAATTCGTCCCCTATACAAACGCTTGTTGGTAATTCAGCCCGCCACGATTTTCACTCTTTTTCCGCGCGCCGCTCCTGCCGCCGAGAGGTCTCTCACGTAGGGTCATCAGAATCGACATGAGCCCAGCATGAGTCTCTCCTCCGGAGATCTCTCCTCACCGCGCAAAGAAAATTCTTCGTCAGTGTCGTCCGTCGAGTTAAAAAAGTGACGATCATTGCTCTCCGATAACGACGATGGAACTCGGGAATATCCTCGTCCCGGCTCTGTCGTGGACGATAATGATAGGTGACAAAATTATCGAACGATTGTCTCGGCTCCGTGGTCGAGGACCTGCTCATGGAGGATCCTTGGGGGCTTTGGTGCGTCTATCTCTGGCTCTCGGGCTCTTGTTCTATTTCAATGTGGAATCAGATGAAAGTCGCGGAGCCGCGGAGGCTCTCAGAGGAGGAGCCACCGCAGCACCACAGAAGCCGCTGGTGGACGTTCAACTGAACGGGAAATGGACCAAAATGCCGCTGGATGATCTTGAGGCATGGAAATATCAAAGGATAAGATGCTTCCTCCCTGAGCCGAGACTCCTCGATTTCCCGGAGTTGACTCAACTTTTTGCGGAGAGACAACGGGGCAGATCGAGAGTTAAAGTCATTGATGTGGAAGATCGGCTGATTCTCTTGGAGGATGCCGTCAAGCAGTTCAGGGAAACGGAACGAATTGTCCGCGGTTTGCAGAAGTCGTCGAGTGGAGAGCCGCAATTCACGGTTCTCAACACAGCGAATTCGAGGATTTTCAGATTCCGGACCCTGGGTCCGAACCCAGCCCCACTCGACAAGGATTATTCGGGCGCCATGTACTTGTGTAACTTCCAAAAACTACTCGATGAGGGCTTCACGGTGTTCGATGACGGCAAAGTGAAGACAATGAGTCTCGATGCTCTTGAAGAGCTCTACAAGTCTTTCGACATATACGTGGACGTCGGAGGCGAATCCCTCAAATTGACGGGAGAGCTCTTAAAAAAAATCACCGAAGAGGTACCGCACTTGCGGCTCGGAGACGCTGTCAAGATTCTGACGCCTCGTCGTGTCCGCTTCGTCAAAGGAAGGTTAGGAGCTCAATTTCCGGCCGGACTATGGAAGACAGAACCGCATATGAGGGAGGTGGCCGGAAGCTCAACGTCGATGGCGCAAAAAGCGCGTAGTGATCCATCGTGAGTAGGAGCTGAATTTCCGATTTTCGAGTGTCTTCCAGCCGTCAGTTCTGTTCCCGAGAGGGGGATGGATTCGAGCGATCTTCCTATCGAGTCATACATGGCCCCATGACCCCATGGGGCTTAGCAGACTATTGGCACATTTCTAATCACGAACATGGACCGCAGCGGGGTTCCGCGTCGTCGAGGCGAAAGTTGCGCCTCGCATTCTGGAACCCCGTCTCTGCGTGAGCTCGATCAGGACTCGATTCGATCTGCCCTCATGCATCAACACTCGATTCCAGCCAGCCCGGACAGGAGGCCCGAATAGTGAGGATGGCATACGGGCATATCGGGGGAGCGTGTGCCCTTGGTCGGGCATCGAATGGAGGCCGATGCCTGCACTCGTTTCTATCGTCCAGACTGGAGTGAGTCGAGGAAGTAGAAGAACCCTATGATATTTTCTCCCATCAGGCAGGATGTCCTTCATCGTTCCGCAATTTTCCTCCGGTAATTTCAGTTGGACATGGCTGTCACTCCATGTTGATCCCTCGGAGAACGACCCTCCGCCGTCCGAAAGGAACATGCGGTGGACAAACGAAAGTGAGTTGACCCCGTCATAGGCACGCGATTGATGCTCATGACTTATGTTCTCCGGATGAGTCAAGAACCGTGTTGTCAAACCCTCAGTGATGGAGGATCTCTACCCCTTGAGCCGTGACATAGACAAGTTCTGCGTGGCTCAGAAAACTAATAATCTTCTCCGCGAGTCCTGCGTAAAACATTACGACAGAATGAAGGACTTGAAGTAAGCTTCTCGTATGCCTCTACATGAGGTCGGGGGAATGTTCGAGGGATTTCAAATATTCGGACCGCTCTCGATGTTCGAATTTCGAATACGACTCCTCGTCGACGTTCTAATTCCGCTCGGAATATCACCTTCTAGGATCGTCAATAGCCCCGAAGAATACATGATTATGATCCTGGAACTCGAAGAAACGACAACCTTCGAGCGTACGTCCTTGAATTTCCATGGATTCAGCAGCACTATAAGTCAAACGATCCCATTGCTGGGCTGGGGATGACAGATCTGACTCTTGGCCAGTAGATAGACGCTCACAATTATTCCAGTGAGTATGGCGCTGGCCGGGATCATCGCCAGACATACGATCCCTTTCGACGCCCAGGAAGTATCGGACAAGATACGGCAATTCCATGGGGCCCGACCCCAGTTGTACTGCGGTCAAATGCTTCCGATTACATCGCCGGAGTATAGACCGAATATACTCAGGAAAGTCGAACTTTGTTTCGACTCTGCTACACTCAAATCGGTTGACTGTCCGCAGAGACAATATTTCCGTCGGTGAGTTCCTCTCTTAACTTGACGCTTTAGCAAAGCTAAAATCAATTCCACCATGGGGGTTATCCTTTATAGGACGCCGAGGGCACCGCAAGTGGTCGACAACTGCGAGCCGAAGATTTTCATCCTTCCGAAAACTCAGTTCCCGGATAATCACCCATACGCAGATTAATATAGGGAGAAGAAATCAGGCTGAATAAAGAAAATCCATTGAAATAAGGAGTTATGATCCGTCGTCTCCACCCTCATTGCATCCACAGCTCTCACGGGACTTCTGCGTTGCGCTTCGACCGAGCATAACTTCGGTACCGTACAGTTTATGTATCCTGAGGGGAAGAGATGGATGAAAAGCTCCGAGCTGCGGAAACTCGAATTTAAAGTGGAATGTCACAGGCCATGCTCTATGCTCTGCTCTATGCTCTGCTCTATTTCTCCGAAACTCGCGGCGGCAGTATCTTGTGGGCTAGAGCCGTGCCCGTCTCACTGAGGTCGACAGGATGACCACTCAATGTTCAATTCGCCGATGACCGGGCTTCATCGTCGGGTCCGCTCAGACGGAACGAACGGATGGGGGGCTTTCGCTCGTAATAGAAAGGACAGCGTCTGGATTCCCGGTCTCTCAGAGTCTCACATTGGGCTTTCCGCTTTCCGGATAATACGTTCTCGTACAAGAGACCTTTCTCTTTTCACCGGGGGAATCCAATGAGCGGGTCCGGCTTTGTATGATCGGAGCTGCTGCAGTCAAGCTCGGCTACTCTGGTCCAACCGAGGTTGACCCGGATTCCACGGACATTCGAAGGATCGAGCATCTACCCCGGCTTGATGTCTTGCCATGAACAATTTTTTCGGGTCAAAATGAGAACTGTGTGGTACGAGGCGGAAGGCAATGACCGCATTTCTCAGTGAAAACCCTCGTCGGCCCGATTCGACAGGTTTTGGAGTTTCAGAGCGAATGAGGGAGCCATCTCATCATGTCTCCTAGTGTACCGAGACAAATATATGTAGACGGAACAGTTTTGAAATCTGCCGCGAAGGCAAGAAGGTCGTCCACCAGCCGGCACACGTATCGTTACCACGTTGTTGTTGAGAGAGGGCCCGGGGCTCCCTTGTGGCTCGAGAGGGAGCTGTCAGCGGGGAGGCAGTCTGTCTTTGGACACCGGAAAGACGGTATCGAAAACAAGTGGCCCCCAAGTTCCAATAATGAGCGAGCAAGAATTCAACAAGGTTTGTGCTTAAGTCTCCGGCAGACATGTGGCTTTTTGCGGAGCTGATTCGCAGGCGATGGACGAATGCACTTATGTTTCCGAAAACTTCGTAATTACATGAGGATCCGTATCGGGGAGCTTCGTGCAGAGCAGTGCTTGACGCGAATCTCACTGAAATCTCACTCAGGAATTATTCGGGGAGGATCTGCTTCGATCTCGTTTTAATTTCCGGCACGATCGATATTAGGAGGATTCGGGATCACAAAAACAATTTCGCGATGCCGGCGATTCTCATCCGGAAGTCTCGCGGAGACACACATGACTTGCATTTGCGGCGACGCTTCATCTTTCCCTCCGAAGTTTAGTCTTGCTCGCGGTGGGTTTCCTCACTAACTATCCCACGTCGCGCTGGTGTGGACCGCGACCCAAATCTCAAATTAGGGTCAACTTTTGGGAAGTCTCTGCCGGAAGCGCTGCGACGTGTTATTTACCTCCGTGACTAGTTTTCCTCTAGGTACACTAGTCACCGTTTAAGGAACGCTCAAGAAATCGCGCGATGAAGATAGGACGGGGATCATGTTACCGTGAATGCCTCGAAACGTCGCAAATTCAGAGCTCTCCCGATCGGAGCGAACGACGATGCTTCCTCATGAGCTGCTTCGGGCATGAATTCATCGCCGGTGGGATACTTCAAATTTTATTTTTCGATCCAGGCCGCTGAGGAGGTCAAGGCGCTCGCGACACGACCTACCGACGATGACCTGTTGGAGCTGTACGCTCTGTACAAGCAGGCCACTTGCGGTGACAATAATACCGCGACGGCGGGATTCTTCGATTTGAAAGGCAAAGCCAAGTGGAACGCATGGGACGCCAAGAAAGGTAAAAGCGAGTTTCGAACGAACGATCGAAGGATTCGCCGAAATACGAGAGACCAAAATTCAATGAATAACAATTTGAGCGTCATCCAGTCCGGTCTGATGGATAAATCGTTCTCCCCAGGCATGAGTAAGGAAGATGCTCGCACGCAGTACATCGCTAAAGTGGCAGCTCTGAAGGGTTGAATACCTCATCGCGATACCATTCAACATGTTTGCTCAATTCAAAGACTAATTTAAGTCATAATCCATGGCGGTATGAACGCCCTCTGGGAAATTCCGGGTTAGCTGAAAGATTTATGCAATAAATTTTGGAAGCTTCATTCCGCCGGTCAGAGAGATGTCTTAAATGATCAAATGGACGAATTCCTAGTTTCCTGATAGTTTTAACGAAAGAGTCGGGTCTATGCCCATTCAGGGGAAATAAACCAGAGCAAAATTTCTTGCTCAAGTCCCAGTAAAATGTGAAGAGTAGTCCAGCTGTGACTTCTGCCTACAGGATTGAACATCGAGAGACCATCCGCCAGCTGATGGGTTTCCGACTGGCCGACGATAATTACTCTTTGAGGGAAGTCGTCTGAAGGGCGTTCCTCCATGCTGCAGGTGGTACCGAAATTCTTCTCTGGCCAATTGGGGAGAGATTCAAGATCGCTGATCAAGAAGGAGAACTTCCCATTTGGGTGACGCATTGTTCAACAGCGTAGAGATTAGACGAGGAAAATTCGAGATTGCACCACTGGATATATCCAGTGGTGAAAGCGCTGCGAGAATCCGATTCAGAGAAAGTATTTACTTCCGCGCGTTTATTTTTCGCCGCTCGGGAAGCTGTGCGCGGCTGGCCGGGCGCTTCAACATCAAGGACAAGGTAACACTTCGATGGATTATTTCCCTGCGCTCAAAAGTCGCTTCCGTTGTAGAACGGTTTTGACTTGATCCTCTTCTTCAGGCGTGAAATCCAAAGCCGTTGAGATGGCCTTGATCATGTGCAGCTTCGGTCCTGAGCTCGGACACAACATGAACTGCAGTATCACGTTCTTCAGGTAGGGTTTCTCGAGCTCTTTAAGACTAGAACAGCTCTTTTGGAGTTCCACTGTCCTCGCCAGCGCCTCGATTTCCGCCTTGTAGTGACGCTCGCGGTCCCCGAACATTGATTGCTGTTGGTACATAGTCATCTCGGCTTCCTTCTTCTCTTTGATCTATAAGGAAATTTCTTTCAAATAACGTCATATGAGCGCTAATATTACGTACATGTGGGCCTGTGAAAGTGGAATGAACGCCATGACCCAGCGATTCGAGACATGTATTGATCACGACCGACAGATAACCTACAAGTTGTTGGATCTCAGCCGTTTTCCGGGCGATCTCATGCGTGTAATGCAACATTTCAATTTTCGCTCCCCCCGCTCCCATGGCTGTAGACTTCGAAAGACTAAACAATTCTGCCAGCATTGAGTCTTCATCGGCAGTTTTCGTCAACGACGACACTGAGGCGCGTTCCTGATTCCGTTGCTGTTGCTGGAAGACGAGAAAAATTTAGTGTCTTTGGCTTCCACCACGCTCCAGAGAATGTTCAAGACAGAGAACGGATGCTTTCCATACTTTCGATATGGTCGCCAGAAGTTGCGCTGCCTGTCGGGGATTTCCGGTATAGGTCAAATCATCGGTATCCCGCTCCCTTTCGCTCAGCAGCTGCATGCTTCTCTCGCGTTGACGTGCCATGCTTTCTTCAGAAGCTGCGAGTCGCGACCGCCAAGTCGCTTCGACCTATGTCGACAGGGAAATAAATGAAAATATTCGGTCAAAGCTACCCAGTACCGACGAATCTACTTAGAACTCTCATAGAATATCCCAAATCCACTGTCTCTGTCAGCCACCTGTGTAAGTTCTTGGCGATGTCTGGTCTTGAGGTCCACAATCGAGAGTTGCAATTCTCTTATCGTGTGATTCAGCGCTGCGATGCTCTCGTTGTGTTCCTGCTTCTTGGCAAGCAGTTGCGCAGTCAGTTTGGCGACCTTATCAGTCTCCTCGGAATTGGTTCGCGCCACCTGCCGATGACTCTTCGAGCAGCTGGTACTGTGCAATTCTTTATAACTTTCGAATTCCTGCAATGACACGTTCCATGAACGACGGCGGTCGCTTAAGGATTCGTTTAGCAGCGGATCGAACATATTGGAGGGGCAGATGCTCGAAATTCTAGACGTTTCCCAGCAGATCGCGAGTCTTTCGCGCGATGACCGAATGAGATCGATCCCCTCGATCTCCGCGACAGAAACTCATTTTATAGAACCCGATCCTCTCGCTTTGCAATCGATGCGCATTCCGTTACCTGCTTAATATCATGTACATCTTGGGAACATCGCTTGTGGATGTCAATGGCGTGCTTATTGAGTAAGCGGTTCACTTCGAGGGGCAGATCGGTCACGGAATCTTGGGAGCGCTGATTCGCACTGCCGAGCATAGCCAATGTGCGACCCAGCGAGCTCAATAGTGAGCTCACATCGTGATTAGATTCCTCTTCTGGAATTTCAGGAGTACAGCGCGTATATCAAGATTCCTCATACACAAGTACCAATCACGGGCTTATATTATGTATTTTACAAGCATTCTGGAACTCACCGATGGCTGAGTAGATTGCCGCCACCTTCTGCTGTGCGTGCGCCTTCGCGAGCTCTTCCCGAAGATTTTGAACGGTGTCTTGAGATTGTTGAATCACTCGATCGTAATATGCGACGGTTCCGCTGAGCTCTTCAACCTGCGCACAAAGAAACATTCTGATCATCTTGAATTAGTGTCTTGACGCGCCCTATACCTTCCTCATCTACCGATTGGTTACACCAGGCAGAGGGTTTCCTAGGGTCGGGCCGCGGGAGCGTACCTGGGCTTCGAGAGACGCTATGCGTTCTTCTTTAGCAGTCTGGAAGTTCTGGAGTTTCTCCTCTGCCGAGTTCGCTCTCGCGGCATCCCTCGCCGAACGGGCTTCGAAGTCTCTTATGATTTCTGGAATTACAAGGAGGTGAAAATCGGCTCGGTGAAGCTCCCTAGCTCCCGGGAGTATTCCGGAATCGTTGAAATTCCTACCATCTTGCGGGTTTTCCGACGAAACGCTTTCGGTGTGTTCCTTCCGCTCCTCCTGAAGCTCCTTGAGCAGGCTGATCTGGGCCTCCAAAGTTTGGCACTTCTGTTCCCATTTCATCAAATTATCTTTGTGTATGATATCCCTGCAGAAACGGAGAGTAATTGGCCACGCTGAAGCGAAAAGCGGCTTCTAGAAAATTCGCTCAGGAATGTGACCTATACATTGTACTTCGGATCGGCGATGATCTACCTCGCGTAACGTTCTTCGGTGAGCTTCTTCTGCAATTCTTTCATCATCGCGAGGTTATCTGCGGCCTCCTTCTGACGGAATTGTTTTTCCTCGGAAAGTTTCGCTTGAGTCTGGAAACGATCGAGAATCCAGAGGGAGTACGTTTCCAAAATACTTTCGGCGGGACATCACGAGATAGCTCTGGAGAGCAGCCGAGCGAGCGGGTCTTCTATATTTTTTCCACTTTGTGAGAGAATTCCCGAATATCAAACCTGGAACCAACCTGCACCAGAATTTGGTTCTTCTCATCGATGTCTTTTTTCAGCGTTTCGACCGTCTTCGTCAACTCCAGTTTCTCCTGCGTCAATAATTCCGATTAGAAATAAGTATATTGAATAATCGAATGGACCTCCCGTTCCTATTTACCGAAGTCAGCGGCGGAGACGCCGAAGTCATAATCTGAATGCAGGAATCTCACCTGTAGTAAACGTTTCTTATCGGCGTGGAATGCTTGCTCGGAGTGCGTTTTCTCGATCCGAAGCGCGGCGAGGGCATTCGTCAACGTAGAGATCTTGACCTGAGACAGATCATCACTAGCCCCGGTGGGTGTTGGAGCAACTTCTGAGGGAGCAAGATCTCCATGATTCGAACTTTGATTGTTTTTGGGAAAAAAATATCGACCATATTCTCGTTGGACCCACCTCGGGACGAGCCATCCTGCGTTTCCTCACTCTGCGGTGCGGGAGCATCGGAGGGTTCCTTCTGAGTCGCTAGAACCTTGACTGTTTCATCTAATGTGTCGCGTTCGGCTTGCAGTCTCTTGTAGGCCTTCACCAGATCTTGGGACGGAATATACAATATCTTGAAATTTCCGATGCATTCACGGGAGCCTCCGCATTTTCCGGACGGAAACGATCAATCGGAGAGGCTTTTCGGAGCTGGTTCATTCGATTCGCTGTCGAAGAGGGTTCTCGAGTAGGCTGTCCGGGGATCGAGCTGTCGCCTATGCGAACCATCAGCACCAGGGCTCTGTGAAGCGCGTCGGCGCCGCGCCGCTCCATGTTATGAAACATCTAGAGCCGCTGACGAATCACGAGTGTCAGAAGCAAAATGTTAGAAAGTCCAAAGTCTGGTCCTCGCTAGTACGAGAGATCTTTGAGGGACCATTGAAGGCACTCGATAGTGAGGCCTTGCACGGGACGGCACATGCGACCCTCAATCCAGTCGCGAATTCGCCAATAAGGTAGTGAGGTGAAATAAGTTGAAGCATTCCCGGCTCCGAACCCTCCCCCGAGCAGGAGTGATTATCACACGAGCGACCCTGAAATTCGGGCTTACTATTGCTCTCCTCGTAAACCCATGCGACTAGTAATAAAAGGAATCGGCTGGAGATTTCTCATGGGATCCGGAGCCCGGATACACTCAAGTGTCACTTATCGTTCTTGAAGCTCTAGGGAAGCATTTCCACCGGTTACCGAAATACCGGGGAGCTCCTCGAGGCGAGTCTGAGACATTCTCCTTTTCTCGAGCCGTCTCCGAGTGGAAGACAGCTCCATGGTCGAAAAAGAAAGGAATCGTGGGAAGATATCGTAGTCGAGAACTCGGAAAGAGAGCGACACTCACCGCTGAGCTTGGTTTCATATCGTTGGATTTTGACAGCTTGGTCATCGAGTTTCGCTTGGAGATCCTTCTTAGTCTGGCGGTCCGCGAGGAAATTCATGCTGTCGTTGCGACCTTCCAAAGCAAAAATAGAGATTTCGATAACTTCATTCCGGAGAAAGGTCCATTGAGTCAATGTGTTTCGCGCCCAAGACGAGATTACCTATTATCAGGCGTGGGAACCAAGAACTATCCGGCGAAGACGTCAAACGAAAATCTTCCCGACCTAGCGCGGGAGAGCTCTAAATGGATTCCACATGTCGATTCAGTGCTGCCAATGACGAAGACGACTCAACGCTGTAAAAGTTTCATGCCGTCGCTTGTGGATCACACCAAACAGCTGGACATCGTCTTCTGCTGCGTTCGTTGGGGGATCAGCTGTGAGCTGTGACTACAAATAGAAACAGATTCAGTCGTTCGCTGCAAGCTTAGTTTGAAAATCTGGCGCGGAGACGAGACTGCATTCAGATTGGAGCGCTTGGATCCTCGATTCCCCGCTATTATGTATAGGCTGAGCTCGGTAGTAGGATGTTCCATATTCACAGCTTCCCGGTGGTGTAAGACTCCGCTTTCTTCGGCAATCTTGTCGAAATAATCGTCTGGTGAGAGCTCGCTTGAGAGCTGTGAGCCCAGAAATTCCGGCAGCGGATTATGACGCTCAAGCAGGAAGCAGGAAGGCCAGTAGGGGATATATCAAGATCGGAATAATTGCTCTGCATCCTGTGGATTGTATCAGATCCTCATCAGCTTATTTTTGCATCAGCTGGCTCGCTGCTTCGACAGGCTCTGTGAGATCGAAGAGAGAATGAGTTGCCCTCCCGGAGGAGCGCAGTCTGTTCCTGTTTTTGAGAGAGGAGGCTACAATGCCTCGGTGACAAAGTTTCCCGGGACAGAAAGCTCACCAGGAGCTTCACCGTCCAGGACCTTCCCAGATCGGGCCACTTTAAAACTGAGGTGAGCCCCAACTCTGTCCGCCCCTCAGAAGAGTTCTGGTCCTCATCGTTCTATCGCGCGGAATGTTGTCGCGGCTAATTTAGAAACGTCAGCGATCATCCGAAATTCTTCCCCCTTGGTCTATCAGCCGGCGATCTCCTTCCCCGAGATCGGTTCGGGAACAATCTCCTTAGCAATTTTCAAGGCAACTCTCACAAATCCGCGGGTAGGATCCTGAGATCAATTTTTACCGCACCTAGAGCTCGATAGGGCGCAAAGAATAGTTCCACGGAGGATGACCTCTGACTTCACTGAAATGACTCGTGGATCGAAGAGCTTCACGGTCGAGAATTCCGGGCCACTTAAACCTGGCCTCGGCGACACTTCTGCCAATACGTCAAAGAACCCTCGAGAAGGAGATCCTTTACATTATCAATCTGTACATACCACATAGCTACATTCATCAAGTCGAGTCAAGTCAACTTTTCTTCGGAAATCGTGTGGGAGGACGCTTTGCATTTCATAAAAAGCCAGTGACGGCTTCTTCCGACGGTCGTGAGAAGATACAAGGTATACCGAGTCATCTTCAGTGATTCTTTCCGAAGCTCCTTTCATTTAGGTAATCTCCAATTTTATCAAGACGGAGTCTCCATGGTGGCCGAGCTGTCGCTGAGGGCGTGTTTTTTTGGACCGGGAGAGTTCGTCTCGACATTCGAGGGAGATCATCAACACATGTAATGCTCACCGGATTATCTCCAGGCTTTCCACAAGATGGCCCTGCGAGGAGTTCGTGTCTTGGAGCTCGCGGGATTGGCTCCGGCTCCATTCTGCGGAATGGTATTGGCGGACTTCGGAGCGAGTGTGATAAGGGTGGACAGGGTATGTTTCCCGGCTATAGCTCGTCGCCTTCAACCTCCGAATTTACGCTCAAGAGCGGAAGAAACGCATGGTGATTTGAGTAGTCACCTCATTGGGCTCCTATCTCCTTGTCCAGCTGAACACCAAGCATGACAATGATAGGTTGTCCCGCGGGAAGCGCTCGATAGCCATCGATCTCAAAAAGAATGAGGGGCGATCACTTCTGAAGAAAATGGTCGACAAATCGGACGTTCTCATCGATCCCTTCCGACCGGATGTCTTGGAGGGTATGGGTCTCGCTCCGAATGATCTCTTGAGGTGAGTGAGTCCTGAGGGAGGCAGAGCCTGGACGATTCATCTTCTAAAATGAATGAGGCGTCAACTCGAAACCGCCCCAGGTCGAATCCGAAGCTAATCGTGGCGCGAATCACCGGGTACGGACAGGACGGACCTTGGTCGAGGGCCGCGGGACACGACATCAATTATGTCGCTACGTCAGGTACTTGGTACATGTCCGAATTCATAGAATATCCATCGCATTCTTCTCGGGACGTTGTACGTATGACGGTAAGCATCGTTGCCCCTGTCCACGCAGGTGTGTTGTCAATGCTCGGTAAAAGCGAGTCCCCACCATTCCCTCCGGTGAACCTTCTCGCGGATTTCGCTGGGGGAGGACTTTTGACGGCGATGGGGATCTGCGCGGCTCTCTTCGAGAGGACCGTATCCGGCAAAGGTCAAATCATCGATACGAGCATGGTAAATGAACGGAAGAGGCGTACTTTGTTCCCCAGATTTCCCATGAGCGGATTAATGCGATTGACATGACTTGATTCGATGTCTCCTTTCAAGAGTGAAGGCGCAGCGTATGTGAGCACTTTTTTGTGGAGAACGCGGAGTCCACGAATGAATATCCCAATCTGGTTCTCGGATCGTGGAAACAATGTTTTGGATGGAGGCACACATTTCTACCAGGTGAAACAAGTCAGGGAATCTAAGAGATTTTTCACGAGCGAATTTCAACAAGCAGCGATTTCCAAAGCGCTCGATTTTGATCGGCAGACGTACGAAACCTCCGATGGCAAGTTCGTGGCTGTCGGTGCTCTGGAACCCCAATTCTACGCGGAATTCATCCGAGGAATCGGTCTGGATCCGGACACCTTCCCACAGATGCAAGACATGGACGAAGCGAAGGAAGTTGTGAGCAAAATTTTCAAAACGAAAACACGAGAGGAGTGGGCTTCAATCTTCAAGGACACCGACGCTTGCGTGACTCCCGTTCTAGATTTCGAAGAGGTTCACAAGAACGAACAGAACGAAGGTAGGATCGTACTCTGCCATATCCATTAGGATGAGCCACGGGTCTCACCCCGAGTACCTGATCCATCTATGACCAATTCGGGAACTTTAGTGCAATCTTTCAGCGCGAGACGCCTTCACAAGCTACGACGGCACACTCGCACCGCGAGCAGCACCTCGCCTCTCACGAACCCCGGCCCAAATCGATCCCGTAGAGCCCGAGCCCGGGGAGCATTCTCTGGAAATCCTCCACGAAATCGGTTTGGCTGAAGAGAGCCGTAAATTGTTGGAGGACAATATTGTACAGATTGCCAGATCCAAATTGTGATTTCCACACTGCCAAATGCTCGACCAATTGACCCGAAATAAACATTCTGTTCTGAAGGGAAGGCCTCATGCCCTGAACTCGGTGCAGGAATTCTGTCCTCATGAGCGGTTCGTACTCTCAGGAAGGGCCGTTTGATTCGATCGCCATCAAGCTCGCAAAGATCGTTTCGACAGGCCTCCCGCCATTTAGACTCTGACAAGTGGAGGGAAGACATGATGGACGCACTGTCGCCGGAAGCACTTCACTCTGGCCAGGACGCGGAGGTAATGATCTGGGCCACTCCGCGGAAACTCAAACCTGACGACATTTCTCCGCCGCCGTCACAGGCTGAATCGGAATCCATTGGAGCTTTGCGTCCACGCGCTTCGATCCGGGACCAGACGAACGCCTGTGCAAGCCGGAAGTCGAATTGGCGAATGGCTTCCCTCCGAGTGCCTGTGCGAATGCGCGATCAGTTTCCCGCGATGCGGCTGAGCTGATTACGGGACTCGACGGGGACGGAGGGAACGTCGCATAGGAGAATACATTTGATGAGAGGGAAGCCGCCATTCAGCTTCGATGGCCATGGTCGAGTGGTGTGCTCGACGCGGGGACCAGATGGGTGAGCCCCGGGGGAGGGTGGCCGACGACACATTCTGAGAAGCGGAACGACACCAAAGACAATCCGCATCATAATTCTTGATTTTGCAACTGTGGAAATCATAGGTTCGATGCTTCACTGTGCAAGACTCCCCGATACTGATGAAAGAGGGGAGAGCAGGAGAAAAGCCGTATTTTATTTTTTTCCAAAGTTGTTTCGACAACATTTAAATGTATGTACCACGTTTCCGGCTCAGTACCCGTTGCGAGTTCGATTTACTGTATGTATGAATATTCGTATTCTATAATTTGCGCTCATTTATGACCATCGGGGAATCTTCATACCTACTCATGCCTAAAACTCTCTATTCGCGGGGATATCGAAAAAGTTATTGATGGCTGGCGCAAAGCCCCCCTTCATCGCCCCCGATCTGTTTTCCTGGACGCGTAAGTCTTCGCTAAACATTAAAATTGATAACCAACCAGGATCAACGTTTCTTTCAATGATGGCACTCGACTGTAAACATTCATTCACTGATGATTGTTGCTGCTGCTGCTGTTGTTGTTATTGCTGCTATTGTGGCTAATATGACTGCTGTTTTTACGGAATAGGCCGCTGAACATTCCTCGTTTCTTGGAATCCTTATGCGACGCGGAGCTCACTGATTGAGCGTCTGACGAAACGATCGAGTCCGATCGCTCGGGCCGCATCGTGGAAAACCCGGAGTTGTAGCTGTAACCGGGAGCTGCGCCAGGAGGAAGGGATGCGGTTCGGCTCAAATTTGAGTTACGGTCGGTGTCGTAGCCCATGCCCACGTTTCCGTAGACGGGTTCCTTGCTGAGATTGGTGAAGACCGGCTTATTGATGATGTCTGGAAAAGCGGGAGATATTCAAACTCGTGACTCGATCTCCTTGTCGATGGGCAAGAAAGTTGCCGGATACAGCTCGTTCCGCCGCAAGTCAAACGGATCATGACGCCCCACAAAGATTCTCTCCCATTCCTTGATACAACCACGCGCAGGAACTCACCCGTGTCGGAGTGTTGTTGGAACATCTGAATTTTCTCTTGAACGCTTCCCGGACTGCCGTTCCCGTCCACGCTCTCGGGAATGGTGGGTGTGGGGCTCACGCTCCCCATCGACGAATTCAGCTTCGAGTCGAAGTTCGTGGGCGTACTCCGTTCGCTGCCGCTGACGTGCTCGAAGGTGGTCTCGAGGGGATTCCGGAAGCCTTTGGGGTATTGAGTCAATTGCTGCGATGGATGGAGCGAAGCATGGAACTCGATTTTCTTCACCCATTCGTCCAGTTTATCTTCGTTCTGAGCTCCGAAAAGGAACTGGGTTCCGTCATTCAGAGTCAGTCGGAAGACGTGCTTCCGTTTGGTGTAGTCAGAAGCCTTCTCCACTCGAGCCTGGATTATGAGAACAAGTATGAGGAATACATCCAAAAGAAAATATGAATGAAAAAAAATTATTGGAAAAATGCGAAAAAAAATGTGGATGAAAATCATGAGTAAAAAATATATATAAATAGAAAAAGGGAAAGTTTGAATTAGAAAATTCTTCACAAAAGAAAGCAAACATGTGGATGCTTTGCATGAAATAATACAGGTTTCATTTGAAAAAGAATAAAAGAATTCGTGAGTTGTTGTCTAATTCACTTTTGCGCGAAAGCGAATGGCTCGATCGAACTCACATTTACGAGCATTATTGGCGCTGTTGCTGTACTCTTGTCGTTGAGGGCTTGCTGGTCCTTGAAGAAGGCCAACACGTGGCCGCAAAGAACCGTATAATACTGTTTCCAGCTTCTGACCGGTGCTCGTTTACCTCCCACCTGGAGTTGATGCTTCCTGTCTAGGAATCCTTCGATATCGCTCGGAGGCGGCTCACGGTTCCTCTCGGGGACAGTTGTGATATTCGTGGTTTTGCGTCGGGTCCCGAAGCTCGTCCTTCTGATAACTTGACCACGACTTCCGGTGGTCATGCTTTCCGTTCTACGGAGACCGATACGTTCACTCTCCATGCTCCTCTGAGACGACGTCCTACTCAGACCCGAGCGCAGACCGCGTTCGTCATCCACTGGCGAGAGGTATTCGTGGTACTTCTTCTGGAAGATGTTCCTCTGTGCTTTCTGGCGGAATTGCTCCATCCGTTCGCGTTCACGATTCTCTTGTTCAGCGATCCGGTCTCGATCTTCTTGTTCCTTGAGGCGGACGAAGTCCTGCTCCAGGAGCGTCCGTCTTTCGAGAACTTTGAACTTATCCTCGTGCGACATGATCTGTGGGGGAGATTAGCGACGATCAACGACAATTCGAAACGATTCCGACATGGCAGCAAATATGAGCGAGGAATAACGATTTAGAGCAGCGCAAAAAAGAGAGTCGGCAGTCCCGAACATCTACTCACAACTTTTGTGAGGTCTTCGTGTTTTTTTATGAGGTCTTGAACGGTTTCCAACGAATCGCCCACATTGGAGTCCATCAATGAGGGCTCTTGGCTCGTCAACCAGGCGTTCAGCTGCTCGGCATCACGCAGGAACTTCCGGACGTCGAGGTTCTGCTCGTAGACGGTCTTCCTTCGATCCCACGTTTTCTCGAGCAAGCTCCTGAAGTTGGCGAGTCTCGCCATTTTCTCCTGAACGTCCTCGGACATGAAGTGTCCGTTCTTGATCAGATTCTTCCCGTCCTCCTGGAAGCGGTTGAAGGCCGGTCTCTTGGCTTCTATGGCTTTGTAGTTCTCGGTGTGGCGGACGATGAGATTTTCGGCGCCACCGACGTCGGTGGGTAGATCGTCGGCGGTGATGATGGCCATCATTTCATTGGTCCAAGCCCTGAAGAGAACGGGGAAATTTTCTGCCGTTCGTCTATACACATCGAGATACTACACCACGTTCAAAGAATCTGAAGACTCTTGCGAGAGCCTGCGAGAGAGGAAACATATAACATGGTGGGAGAAAACTCACATCAGCTGACTGTACTCGTCGAAGTAGGTTTGCACCTGCTCGGCTTGAGCGAGCCGCTCCTTGCGTTCCTGACAGCGCTCTTGAAGTTTGTCGAAGATACCCTGAACCTCGTCGCGTTTGTTCTGAAGATGCTCCCTAGCATCGGGGAACATATCCCAGAGGCGCTTGCCCTCGGCTTGAGTCTGATCGACCTGTTTCTTGATGGCCAATACGTCGCGCTCGAATCCATCGTGTAGACGCGCGTTTGACTGCGGACGGAAAGACCAAGTTTTAGAAAGGATTATTTTTCGTAGGAGCGGCGTCGACCAAGTCGTTGGGGCACCCTTCCTCGATGCCTTTTCCGAAAACTCACCTGGATGGTCTCGAGGTCGTGGCCGCACTCGTCGGCGAAGATGACGGCGTCCTTCTCAACCATCCAATCGATGAGCTCGTCGGCGTTCTTGCCGAACGTGTGAACTTGCTTAGCGCCCACCAGAGCGTCCTTGCGCTGTTCGGCGCACTCCTTTAGGTCGCTGTAAGCCTTGCTGACTTTCTCCGAGCTTTTCTGGATGGCGGCCGAGTCTTTATGTTTCTCACTGATGAGTTTATGGGCCGTCTGCACAATTTGCACGACGCGATTTTCCGTGGAGCCGAGACCGCTCATGAAGGCGTCGAACTGCTTGATCAGCATATCGACCCGCTCAGCGTCGTTCCCGTAATCGTCTGAGGAAGCGATCAGCATCTGCTGTCCGATCCATTCCATGACATCGTCGACCTGTCTTAGGAACACAAAGTAGCCGAAGCTCGCGGCGAGCCGCTGCTGCTTATTGCTTATGTCCTCGAGGAGGCTTTTCCACAGCTGTTGCACGTTGGCCATACGCTCTTGGATGTTGGTCGAGTCGAAGTGATTCTTCTCGATGAGGCTCTGAGCCCCCTCGAGAAGTTTCTCGACGAGCTGCTTGAAGTTCTCGGCGTCTCGGAGAACCATATCGACTTTCTTCTCGGCTTTGGCACATGAGTTTTCGTCTTTGGGCTGATCGCAGCTGGACATCGCCGTGAGACGCTCCTTGATCCATCCTTCGACTTCCGCCGCGTCCGCCAACAGAGCCTGACTGGCTTCGCTGTCTTCGAGACGCAGTCGTCGGACGCCACACGCGTCGCGGAGGGAATTCCACGCGCTCCGGAGCTGATCCATTTTGGCGGCGATCAGCTCGGAATTGAGATGTTTCGAGCGGATCAACTGGTCTCCCTTATCGCAAACGCTGGACACGATCGACTCGTGCGTTTGGAGTTCGTTCTCGAGGTTGCGGTGCTTCTTCAAGAGCAACTGAACCGCGTTCAGACTTTCGCCGAGATCTGTAAGAGGAATTAAATCGTAAATAGTCCGCCCATGTCAAACGACAGGAACGGGGTTAGAACCCCCGTTTCGATTAGAATGAATAATGGGAATCGAGCTCACCGTTGCTCGTAGCATTGCTCAGACGCAGCTGGATCCAGGCCAATTCTTCCTCAACGTCATCGATGAACTGGTGGAGCAAGAGCGACTCGTCCAAGTTCTCGCGTCGGGTCTGCATGGGCTCGGTGAGCTCGTCGTATTTCTTCACAATCGCCTTCGTGCGGTCTTCGATCTCGTCCGCGAGGTAGCTGTCGTTCGCGATTAGAGTATCTCTCTGCTGTTTCACTCGCTCAATAGTCTCAGAATAATTATGAACCTGAGTTTCGAGCTGCTGGTGCTTCTTGAGGAGGATCTCCACCGAGGTCAGGTCTCGTCCATGGTCTTCGGAGCTAAGCTGGATCTCGACTTCACGAATGAAATTCTCGCAGTCTTCGACGATCCAATTGAAGAGCAGACATTGATAGGAATCATTGAGTCGAGTCTTCTTGACCGAGACCTCCTTTAGAAGATCTTGCCAGAGCTCCTGAATCCTCTCCACCTGGATCTTGATCTGCTGGCTGGCGAAATGTTTCGCCGCAGCGATCTGCTCGCCCTCTTCGACGACGTTGTCCACGCGGCTCTGATTGGCGATAATCTCAGCTTCGAATGCCGTGTGCTTCTTGACCTTGGACAGCAGGTTCGTGAAGTCTTTATAGTTCTCATCCAAGGCGACCTGCATTTTCTCGTTGATCCATGCTTCCGCCTCGTAGACGTTCCGCAGGAAAGCTTGCAGTACCTTCGACGCCTCGAGCTGCTTCGCTCTGTCGGTCAGCCGCTGTCGCATTCGGTCACGTCGTTTGACCAATTGACCGAAAGTGCTCTCGATCTGGCTCCGATCCCGATGTCCAGCGTTGACGAGTTCTTCGACGAACTTCCCCAAATGATCGACACGATCTCCCTGTGCCTGGAGAGTGTTCACGAAATCGCTGTGCTTGGCGAGTAGAGCCCGCACGCTCGCCATCGAGTCCCCGATGTCTTCGTTGTTGAGGAATCCCTCACACGTCAGCAGCCAGGACTCGGTCTGAGCAGCGAGTTCCCTAAAGTGAAGCATCTGCTTGTTCTCGACCACGGCGAGCCCGCGCGCTTGCCAACACTGCTCGAGATCATCAATGGCGTGCCGGACCTTCTCGATGCTACGCTCGATCTGCTCGTCGAGAGCTTCGCTCCGGCGAGAGGTCCCGGACCTCGAAAGCTCCAGTAGATCGTTACCGTCGGCGAGAATCTTTTCGGCGGTTTCGCGTTTCGAATCCATGTGAGAGCGTCGCTCATCGTGCAAGGCGACCAACTGTTCCGCTTCGGCCGTGGTCTGAGCGAGTTCCTGAGCCTGGAGGTCGGCTTTCATGTCTTCGTGCCATTTGGTGAGGGATTTAACCTCGTTTAGGAATCTGTGCACCTGATTGACGTCTTCGAGCACCGAACGCTTCTTCAGAGTCAAGTTGCGCAACTCATCCCAGTGGGTGTGGATCTCATCGATTTTCGGCTGGATTGCCGTGTTGCCTGAAATATTTTTTTCCGTCAATAGTCAGAAGAAAAGCTTTCGACAGCGAGATAATCGGAGCCGATCCCTCCGAATGGGGACCCCGATAGAAACGCTCAAGATACTCACAGGGTGCGACCTCGCTCCTCAGAAGCTGTTCCAATTTGGCGTCGTGGTCTTTGATCTTCTTGGAGATTGTTTCCTCGATCTCGCGTTCGACCGCATCCTGTTTCCGCTGCAGAGATTCCACGGCGGCCAGGTTTGCGAGGTTCTCCTCAGCGCTGAGGAGTCCCTTCTTCTCCTTGATTCGGTCCAAGGTATCGGAGAGATCTCTCATGTAGGAGTGGACGCTCATCGCCGCCTTGAGTTTAAGCCGGTACTCGTCGAGAGCGCCCTGGAGCTTCTTCCAGTTGTCGTTGATATCGTTCCTACGACGCTCGATGACCTGAGTCGCTTCTTTGCCGCTGTGGCCGCTAGCAATCAGCTTGTCAGCCAGTGAGTTGATCTTCTGGATCCGAGTCCCATCGACCCTCATGTCAGAACCAACGTCGTCGAGCTTCCGCTGAAGGATTGTGCAGTGCTCGAGATCCACGCCGGTATCGCTCGCCTGGATCATGATGCCTTTGTCCCGGATCCAGGACTCGACCTGATCGCATTGATTGTTGAACTCGAGGATGTCCTGAGCTTCCTCGAGACCGATTCCTCTCTCCTTCAGTATCTGGACGAGCTGGTGCCACGACTTGAGGAGTTTGTCAAGAGGGGCGGCGACCTCGTTACGGTGACCCTGTTGGATGAGCTTCTGGCCCTTGCCCTGGAGCGCATCGATCGTGCACCGGCTCGCCGCAAGTTCGGCTTCGAAGGTCTGATGTTTCTTGAGTTGCTTCATTTTCTCGTCTAGACTTCCCTTGCCCTTCGAGGCTTCGATTTCGTTATCGAGCTGTTTCCTTCGGTTTTCGATCCCGGACTGGGCCTCGCTCGCTTCGAAAAGGAACTCGGCGAGGTGCAGAAGCCGCAATAGCTCCCTGCGTTTGATGTTCGCGCCGTCGACGACCTTCTGACGTCTCTCGAGAACTTCGTTCAACTTCTCCCCGATAAGCGGACTGTCGAAATGGCTCTGTTTGATGAGAGCTTGGGCGTGATCTTTCATGACTTGTATCTTCTCCTCCTGGCTTTGCAGGACCCGCTCGAACGCCTCGTGTTTTTTGAGGGCGTGCTTGATCTCGTCGACACTCGATCCGGGCTCGTTGCTCGCCAGCTGGGCCTCCTGTTGCGCGCACATGGTCTCGCATTGCTTCACCTCACGCAGGAAGAAGCTGCGATCCAGCAGCTGCTTGAGGAAGGAGGTTCGTTGCTCGAAGAGTTTGTAGAGCTTGTCGTGGGTGGCCTGGAGACTCTTGACCCGTTTCAGGATCTCGTCCGCGGCGAAATGTTTTGAATCCTTCATTTTCGTGCCGTGTGCGACCAAAATGTCGAAGTTCGTCTCCTGGGCCTGGATCTCGCCTCGGATGTTCTGGTGTTCGGCTTTGAGCGCCTCGACCTGTTCGTAGCCTCGCGGGTTCTCTCGGGCGGCCAGCGACACACAGATTTGATTCGCCCAATCTTCGAAGTTGCGGCAGGCCATGAGGAACTTGTGGAGTCGGAGGCTGTCGTTCAGTTTCTGATGCCGGTCCTCGACCACGGTCTTGAGACGATTCCATTCCTGAACGATGTGCTCTTGTTTCTGTTGGATGTGGCTGGTGTTTGCGCCATGGTATTCACTCTTCAGCTGATCCGCCTGGTCCAGCAGATGTTGCAGATGTTTTTCGAGCAGCGTCAGCTCATTCTGCAGTTTGTCGTGCTTCTTCTGCAGGTCCTGGGTGCTTTTGACGTCTCTGCCCACATCTTCAGGGATGCTGGCGAACTTCGCGAGAATCTCGCTCAGAGCCTCCTCGACGTCTCGGTTGAAGGCATGGATCCTTCCGGCACCGTCGAGCTTATCTCGACGGATTTCAATGGCGTCTTGGAGATTGTCCCACTCGGTCGACACTTCCGTGGCCATCTCTCGTGCAACAACCGAATTCGACCCGTCGTTATCAGCAGTTTTCTTCGCGAGCTCGAGGAACTGGAGGTACCTCTCCTCACCGGCTTGGACAGAAATCGAGACCTGGTTGAATTTGGCTTGGAGTTCCTGGAGATGCTCGAGATCTGGACCGTAGTCCTCGATGGATACCAGAACCATCTTCTCTGCGATCCAATCGAGAATTTCCTGATATTCGCGGAGGAATTCGTGATGCGTTTTCGACTCGAGAAGCATCTGGCGGCGGACGGCAGACAGTTTCTGCAGGTTCTTGATCTGCTGCTGTAGAGTAGCGTTCTTGTTGGCGATGGTCTTGGCCTCGGGATGTTGCGAGTCGACCATTTTTTTCGCTTCGGAACTCATTTCGTTAATGAGTCCAACGTAACTATCCAGCTCTAGCTCGAAAGCGTTGTGCTTGGTCAGAAGCTTCACAGCGGTATCGTCGTCTCGGCCGTAATCGGCCGAGTTTAGGTAGTTGCTCTTCTCGTTGATCCATTGCTCGATCTCATTGACGTCGGTGTAGAATTGTTGAGCTCGGAGCGATGATTCGAGAGCTGCTTTCCTACGTTTAAGCTCCTTCTGGAGTCGCTCCCAGGCGTCCTCGACTGCATTGCGCTTGTCGCCCACGGCTTGAGTGAGTTTCTGAAACGAGAAAAATGAAGCCGTCGCTGAATGGAGATCCTGACCGCACGAAGTATTGCCCCGTCCCTCTCTCTTCATCTGAAGCTCCGATCAACTAATCTATGAACAGCTCTTGCTCCGCCTCCCGAGGAAAAACCCCGCTTGTCCCTAGACGATCTCCCATGCTCAGTATTACTATCGGCCGAGGGTTGAATTGAGGGAAGCTCACCTTAAGAAGATCCGGCCAGGTAGCCTTCTTGGAAGATCCAGAGTCGACTGCATCATCCGGTGCTATGGCTGCTTTGGTCGCGAGATTATCGCCAGCGCCTTGGTTGTTCTCGATGTCCTTCGAACACTGCAGGAATTTTTCGAGGAGCGGTTGATGGGCTTGAACCTCACGGGATAGCTTTTCGTGTTTCTTCATCGCGTTCTGAGCGTCGATAAGCGAGTTACTCTGTTCGGCTTTCGCGTTCTGAGCCGGAATATGTTCCTGGATCCATTTCTCCTCGCTGTCGAGATCGAATTTGCACTGGTGCAATTGAACGGACTCCTTGAGATATCCACGGCGCGCCTCGGCAGGTTTCTTGAGGCTTTCCAGCTTCGCCTTCACCAAGTCGGCGGCGGACTCGATATTCTTCCCGTCGAAGTGGCCTTCTCGCGAGAGGATTCCGCCTTGCGACGCGAGTTCTTCGATTTTGGCCTCAGCCGCAGTGATATCGTTCTCGATGGCCTGTTGTTTCGCTGCGGAATTCCGAAAAGAGAAGAAGAGATTATTTGATTATCGATTCACCCCTTGATGATAATAATAGTAGTAATAATAATACTTAACCCGTATTCAGGCGACAATAATCGATTCACTTCCTATCCTACACGATCGTGAGCGAGATCGTGCGGCCTCTCCTTCAAAAACTGCAGGGAGGGGATCCAAAAGGACCGAGAACCGTCACGGAATCCGCACGAGAAACCTACCCAGAAGGTCCTTGGCAGAGCGCAGATCGTAGCCGATATCTGTCGTCTGTAGCCTGCGTTCGAGGTCATCCAGTCTGCTCTGAGCCTCGTCCAAGTCTCGGTAGTAAGTTTTCTGACGGTTCGCTTGACTCAGCTTGTCGCCTTTGTCCTCGCTGAGCCGATGGAGCGTCGCCCACTCGTCGTTCAAACGGCTGAGGATGGCCTCGATATCCGGGGCGGCGAAATGATTGTTGCTGATGAGCTCCTTGCCCACTCTATTCAGGTTCGAAACGCGCTCCTGGTTGACCCTGAGTTCGGCCTGGAACGCCTCGTGCTTCTTCAGTTTCCGCTGCAGATTACTGAGATCTTTGTAGCTATCGTCTCCGGCCATCTTCTTCTTCGCGGCTATCCAACTGAACATGTCCTCGGCGTCAGCCTTGAATCTCTGGAAACTGTGGCTGTCGAGCAGCTTCTGTCGGACGATGTACGCCTCCTCTTTGCATTTCTTGCGACGGTCGACGATTCCGTCCCGGTCCTCGAGAATCTTCTTCGTCTTGTAATGATTGGCTTGAGCGAGCTTGTCGGCGATGTCGCTCAGCTCGCGGACTTTCTCATCCTGCTTCAGCAGCGTGTTGATGAGGTTGTCGTGTCGTTTGAGAAGGTTCTCGACTTCGTCCAAGGAGTCACCGACCGCGAAGTTCTTCAAGACGTTCATATGCGACGCCGTGATGGAATCGATCTGGTTGGCCTCTTTTGTGAAGATCTGGTAGTCCAGCGACTGTTTCAGATGCGATAGTTTCTCGAAGTAGCCTCTGAAACGGAATAATTTACCTTGATGATGGGACGATCGAATGTTTTAAAGAGGAACTCTGGACAGCGTACTGGTTTCCCCTCCGAAAGCTGCGCTTTGGCTCACCTTTTTATGGCGTCCTGCTCTTCCTTCAGTCGTTCCAGTATCGGGACCACGGAGGGATTGGTATCGACGAGCTTTCTCCCGAGCTCATAGAGATCTTTGTAGCCGGGTTCGTGCGCCTGGATGTCCGGCAGAAGATCCTCATGGTGTTTGAGAAGGGTTTCCGCTGTGCTCACGTCACTCGCTTTCTCGTGCCGGTTCAATTGCTCTTTGACTTCAGCGATCCAGTTGAGCAGCTCATCGGCGGAGTTCTTCAATACTTGGGCCCCGAGCGAAGCCTCGAGGTTGGCGCGACGTTTCTGAGCAGCTTCACAAACTTCCTGCCACATGTTGGTGACTTCGACTTTCTTGGCTTCGGCTCCCTTGCGCTCATTTGGGTACTGCGCAGCTACAGCGTCCGCCATGTGTACGACGGTGTTGACCTTCTGTTTCAGAGGCATCAACTCACGCTCGAGATTCTCATGTCGCCTCTGTAGGGCCTGGACGGTTTTCATGTCGGATCCGAGTGGCAGTTCAGAATCCATTTTCTCAATCTTCTCGCTCATCCAGTCCTTTGCCTCGTCGACCGTGCGATAGAAAACTTCGACTGACGAAGCGCCGTCCAGAGACTTTTCGAGACGAGACTTGATGGCGTTCATCTCGTTGAACATGTCCTTGACTTTCTTGTTCCGTCGTCGGATGTCGGCCAGTTGAGGGTGTCTCTGCTTGGCGAAATCTTTCTCGAGGTCTTCGATCTCATTCAGGCGCGTTTTCGATGCTGAGATGTCGGTCACGAAGCTCTGAAAATGCGAGAAGAAATTTCAAGGTTGCAGAACTAGCATACCGTCTCTCTTCTGCATCCGCCTGGGAGCCGATCGAGCGGTGTTTGTATCGATACAAACGGAATCCAATCCCTGAACCCTCGGTCAGCTGTGGGAATACTAACCTCGAACTTCTTCTTCTTGTCTTGGACGGTTTCGGTGGGATCTTCTTTCTGGATCGCCATGGACTTCTGTCTCATCCATTGTTCGAAGTCGTCGCATCTATCGAAGAAGTCCAGTATATTGATGGCATCGTGCAGGAGTTCCTCTCTTTTGGCGGCGAGGTCGCAAACGTTCCGGTACATCTCCTCTATGTTGTTCTGCCTCGACTCGACGCCCATGTCGGAGGTGGTTGCTACGGAACAAAAATCCCGAATCGAGTCAGCCAGAGGGAAACACCATAGGTGATCCGACTTCATCCGAAGTAACCTAGTCTAGAGCGAGTTGAACCTACATCTCGGTCTGACTTTCTTCACTTGTTTCTTGACGGGTCGTGTCTCTTGCACAGGGACAACTTTCCGAACGGCCTTCTCGACGACCTTGGGCTTTATCTCCTTAACGTAGTTAGCGGGTACGAAACCTGTCTGACCGTTCGTCCTCCGGATACTCCACCAATCTTCGTTCGTTTTATTGAGTAGAGTCAGCTCCTAGGAAATGAATAAAATATTATTACGATTTATGATCAAGTCGTCGTACGCGGTATATGACACCCAAAAAATGGGTGAAGTTAACGAATTCTACTTATTCAGAGACTCCATTCTGAGCGGTTCAGAACACAGAATGCTGAGCCGTCGATCGGCGAACCCCTGACCGCTTCGATGGTCGCAAACCTCCAGCGATACCGCCTACATAAGGTCTGATACGCAAGCGGATTAGAAGTGATAGGGGGTCGAGAAAATAAAATCTCCAGGAGGAAATCTCTCATTCCCCGTGCGAGAGTTCCGATAACTCGCACCGTACCGAGGTCGGGGGGTTTCCCCGGGGCGAGAGATGAGCCTTCGAGATTTAGGAGCGCAATCAAGAGAGATGACGGTTGTGATTTTGATTTATTCGGCTCTCTCTTTGTTCTCTTATCATCGACAGGCGGTTGCTGAATGCTGACGCTCGTCAGGGTGTCTGGTCGGATTAGTCTACGCGTGAGTGATAAAATGATGATGAATGGAATTATTCTATTCCTATCCGGCCGGGCCAAGGCCCGAGCAGCTCCATCTATGAGCAAGCCTCTGGAATCTTTTTCGCACCCTCTGTCTCATCGTTTTACGACGACTTTAATCCCTGGTAATAGAATCGGCCGGCGTGCAGTAGCATCGGCAGTAGTAGTAGTAGTAGTTGTCCGAGAAAGCACAGTCTTCGAGTGGCGATTCTGTCCGAGAAGAGAGCGGAGAGCGTAAATTCCGCGGGAAGCGAAAATCACGCGGGGAAGCGAGTTCGCGAGAAGGCAAGCGGACAACGACGTCACCCTCGACGTACCCTTCTCAATTTGTAGATCGAAACTCTACTTCTCACATCGCGTTTCCTTCCCTCGGAGAAGCTACGCTCGCCTTCGTCTCTTTCCACGGGAGCAGAACCTTCTCTCAGGACTTCAATCGGTGATGCGACAACGGAACCGGTACCAAGTCTGAGCACAAAGTCGATGTTAGGACAACGCGCTCTGTCGCTTCGTGGAGAGTGTGGTCCCGTTCGCTGACTAACAGCCACGGACGGACTAACGGACGGAGGGGCAGACCGGCCGACCGATCCGCCGAGGAGCCAACGAGTGAAAGATACACGAACAGACCAGCTAGGCACCGTTTGCGTATCTTCCCACTACAACGTCCAACAACAACATTACCGCTGTTACCAACACTGACAACACCATCGACCGAAAGTGGTGACCATTAGACGAGCACATTAGTGCTATCGGAGGCTCGGCCGAAGGAAAATTCGCCGACTTAGAACCCCGGGTGCCGGCTACTGAGCGGCGACGAGTTTTCCCGAACCACTTGTTGCTGGAATCTCCGGGCGAGGTCCTTCGATTTTGGTGTGAGTGACCATCCGAAAGTGAACTCCCTCCGCGAATATCTTCCGACGAATTGATCAGCGAGTGCGTGACTCCGCGGAAATTTAGCCCCTGATTTCAATCGATGGACTGGAGTTGCCGAAATTTGGATGGGGGACATAACCTCACGTTCCCAGTTCCCTTGTCTCAGTGGGAACGAGAAGTGGGCGCATTCATTGTGGCCTCGGAAGCTTTTCTAGCATTTTTCGGTAACCTGGTGAGTGAAAATCGCATTTCCCGAATAATAATTTCTTTCTACGCGGATAGACCGTCAAAGGACGAAGCAGTAACATGTCTCTGGCCGGTCGGTCGGTCGGCCGGTCAGACCGTCAGGCTATCCATTCGTCGCTGGTGTGTGGAGCCCCCGGCGCCGTCGAGTGAATACAGAAAAGGATACGGAAGGTGACGGACGCAGCAAGATAGCCGATCAGTGTCTGAATGTAATAATATACTGTCCGTCGCTTCGACCAAATTGGAAGCGTGCAAACGCTGGTGGGGAAGCGAGCGGCAAAGAGAAAACTTTGCATTTCCCCACAGAAATATTTCGTTCCTTTCACGCCGAAAGAGAAGGGGCGACAGCAAGCGAGCAACCCTTCAGGGCCAGTCCCATTCGATTGCCCTGGAACCTCCGGGGAGCTTGGTCCTCCTGCATCGGGGAACGGCCACAATCAATGATTGGGGGGCTTCTTAAAGCTTGAAAGCATAGTTCCCACACTGAAGTTCTCCGAATGACAATAATTTCATTTGACGCTCGTCAAGGTCGGCCACGCACATAGGAAACGTCTGATCTGCCTCTTTCGAGGCGGCATGTCATAATCGCTAGCCCACTTCATCATTCGAGGAGCAGCCGCTTGTTCCGAGATGATCCTCGAGCACCACTCAATCCATCAATTAAGCCAATAGCGCACACCAATCACAGCTGTGGTCAACCTGCGGGGATGCAAGAGCTTCCTCCACAGAGTATTTATCGCGCTCGTCACCGCCGCTGACGCCGCCGCGGCCGCCCTTATAGCCCGATATCTCCCATCGAGAGCGTGATCAGCAAGAGCAGCCGAGGCTGCAATCCTCATCGATGATGAATATGTCTCCCATGAGCGATCATAAAGTTCGCGGGAGCCGGAAATTCGGCCTCGACCGTCGCGACATTTATAGACGCTCTCTTATTGCTCAGGGATATTGATTCCGCAGAATCGTCGGGCCTTGAACTTGATTAAAAAACATTGGCCGCGTCATGATCATTGCCATTGTCGTCGCTGTCGCCGCAGACCGCGACGCCGACGTCGTTACCGTCGCAGAACTATTAATTAACGTAGCTCGGCCGAGACCTCAGAAATTCAATGCTGTCTACGAGTCTGCCCCAACCTCAAGCGGCGCCGAGACAAAGAATCCCTTATTGTCTCACGTTAAACAAACAGATGAAAACGATCTCATCGCTCCGGACGGAGACTTTCCCGGAACGGAGTGCAGTCGTTCCGCCGTTCGATTCTCTGAATAGAAAGAGCGGAAGTTTCCGCGATCGATCGAGCCGCCTGATCGGAGGGGCCGAGGAATCCGCTCTAGGCTGAGGGACCCACTCCACGATCCGACGAGGAATTAGCGTCTCGGTAGCCCCTCCTCGAAGGGTCCAATGGATCAGATGCCTGAAGACAGATCGTTTTTTTTTCCTCTGCAGGTCGTGCTTGTGATCACCTTCATAGATTCAAAGGTCCGCCAGCATAGAGCGATGTCGATTCTCATCTCATCTTTGGCTGTGAACGACATCATCACGGCAGTTCTGGTCATGGCTCCATCTGCGTATTCGCTCAGTCACCCCAGAGGTTCGTTTTTTCTTTCATCACTCTTTCGAAAAGAAAAATCGACCTGAAAGCTTCGTCGAGCTGCGAGACGTAAGACGGGAGTGATGGTACATCGGGTATCATTCTCAAATGTCGAGCAAGCTCTAATCGCTCTGTCACCCGTTTACGACATACCCAACCCTAGCCTGCTGCTTCTATCGCGTTGTCTGCAAAGCAAGCTCTGCTGCGACTATCCTTCGACCCGACATCAACGAGTTCTTGCCCGAAGCTCCATATCGCTTGGGGAGAGGGCGATATCCGAAATTCTACGCGAAGAGATGAGCGATCGAAAAATGAGGCTTCCTATCATCCCCGCATTCGGATCCCTCGTCGTGATGGCCTTGAATCTCTATCAGCTGCTCTTATCGCTGTTTATCGAGAGATACATGAACGTAGCCCTAAGGTTTCGTGGCCAAAAGCAATCCATCCTCCACCGTGCCCATAGAATCTTGTGCCCGTCGCTCTCTGACGATCGGAACTGGCGGAACTAGCGGAACGACAAGATATGTCAACACAATGCCCATAGGTAGACCCTGAGTAATGTACTCGCGGGGTGGTCTTCAGGATATGACGGCTATGTGACTCGCCAGTCATTCGGTCGCTTGCTCGATTGAGCAATGAATAAGGCCGGCCTCAGCTCATCGTGTTATTCCACCGTCGCGAGCGACACGTCCGAGAGATCGTCCCGAATCGTTCAGCTTACTCATGTAGAGTCGGCATCAGCTCATTAGACTCCTCATAATGTTCTCGCGATGAGCCCCGTAACTCCGCGACAGAGAGCGGATGAGCGGTCAGCCTACGAGGCCGTGAACCGATTTCGAGGACGAGATTCTCAATGTAGATCCGGTATTGCAGGTTTTCCTCTGTGTCAGCCTCAGGTTTGTTCTATACACGGGGTCTTCAACTACTGGATGGCGACGACATCCTCGATAACTTTGGCGATGATCAGCATCGATAGGAACATTTCGATTCAGAAACCCCTATTGTATGCGGCGCAGATCTACGCATCAAGAAGTCGAGTCATCAAAATGGTTCGTTCGATTATCGGCAACTCGTGACCGATCACAAAAATATACCATTGGACCCCTCTCTTCCGGAAAAAGAAGATCATCGACTAATTAATTGGGGAACACTTCGTCCGACGACTACGACGATTTTGCATCGTTGCTCTAGGTTTTGCTGCCGTGGACCCTTGGCATCATTTATTCGTTGATTCCGTTCAGTCTACAGTGGATGACGTATCAACTCGACAATATCGCTTGCGACGTCAACTGGAACCCGGAGCCCGGTTACCGGATCTATTATGCGGCTTGTTTCAGTCTGTGTTTCTTCATACCGGCGGCAATGATTCTGATTCAGTACTCGAGAATCATCTACTCGATCCACAAGCTCAGGCGGCGGACACCGCAGGAGAGCCGGAACGGAATGGTTAGTAGAGACTTCAGATGGAAATTCCGAACACCGGTGTGTCGTTGGTATGCATTCCCGAAGAGGCCGGGGTGCCGTGGCAATTGCGAGTTGACCTCATGGGGTGTGCAGCACTACACGAAAGCCGGCGATGGAACCTTTCGCCTAGTGTTCTCTTTCGTTGACTAGACATGGAAATGGAGGCGGCGGAAAATCCTTTGGCGTAAGGAGTCTCTCTCGGGGACGCACTCGAGCGAGAAGACAGTCGAGCTACCGTTTCACACGACGCTATTCCCTAATCTCGTATCGCACGCCGCTTGTTTTAGCAGTTTCGCTGTCTAGATCTCTCGACTTTGTTTATTCTCCGATAATACGGGAGGCCCTCTCGCTGGACGCAATCGAGCATGGACACGGTGGAAAAATTACGAGATAGATCAAGGCCGTCTGAAATCTCCGGGCTCTCCGTCCGGCGTTCCTCGACCAGATATCAATTGGTTCAAGGGTGTCGATGTGTTGACGAAAAAAAACTGGTGCAATGCGTCGCAGGGCCAATCCTGGATTCGAGCCTCGAGTTTCACAATGAACTCATGGTCGAGCGGATATACACGATGGGCATCTACTCAAAATTCGAATCCGGCTTTATGTCGATACGTGTTCCTCGCCCCCTCGTAAAATTTCTTTGCCCTCCTTTTAGTCCGATCAGACTGGTGGGGTTGATTCAACGTCTCAACCTTTTCCCCCCAGGTGAAATCCCCTTCAGGAATCAGCTTAAAACTCATTGGACGACGGCCCTCGCCAGAGGTCGAGGACAACTCGACGAAACTCGTGCTATCTGTGCTGATACTGGTCGTGGTGTTCTTCGTGTGCATCACTCCTTTCTGTCTGACGAAACTCATCAAAGTCGTATACGGACCACACAGAGTGCCCAATTGGTGCGATATGCTGTCCACGATAATCCAGTTCAGCGCCAGCGTAATCAATCCTATCGTCTACTCACTCGGACTCAAACACTTCCAAGAAGCTCTTGTGCGCCAATGGCGAAACCTCAAGAACCACTGTAGTGTATACTTTTTCTTTCGATGGTGTGATTCGTTCTGATTATTCACAAACCGTCGCTCGATTCCGTTTTTGTAAAAAGCTTTGTAAATAAATAGAATACATCCTGTTTTCTGAGAACTCGCATCCATTTGGGGTAGCGTATTCGCGATTCGAATCAAGAGGGTCAACGATTAAAGACGAGATATCGGACGGGAAACAGTTGCTAAGGACTGCGATCTGAACTCTCAGTCTGAGAAGATGGCCGTGAAGGCCCGGAACAAACTCTGCTGATCACTCACCTCTCCCCTGGGGACCTGCATGCCCTGTCCCTCGTAAGGGTACATCATGAGAACTTGGGGCTCTTCGCGTCGTTCGATGTGCTCCTCGATGACATCACGCATCACAACCATCTGATAAACCTCTTCGACCAACTCTATATCATCGTCCTGTTTTTGGTCCATGAGCTGGAATGGGGCAATGGATATAGGTTGGCTTTGGAAACGACGGGAACAGGCAATAATCAGGCGATCTATACATCTCAGTTAGTTAGATAACTCACGTTGCGCGCGACACCGGTTTTCACCATGCGGTCGACATGAGCTCTCAATTTTTCAATTTCCGGCTCATAAGCCTTGATTCCACCACGGAGTGTTTGATGTCTAAGGAATAGGAAAGAAAACGCGGACATGAACATTCGACGGTCAGACTTCGGAATGTTCCGACAGTGAATTATATCAATTTCTCTAATTCATTCACACACCTCTTCAGGAGAGATTGTGCAGAGAGAACCGAGTTTCCAAAGTCTTCGGATGCCACAAGCGGTTGAACCTCTCGGAGGTAACTCTCGGCCTCGTTCGCGTCTCCCATGTAGCGGAAGCCTTCGATGGCATCGTCTAGTTTCCGTCGCTTCTCTTCGCATAACTGTAAATAAGAGAGACTTCTTAGCAGATGAGACTTCTGACTGCACTGACTGGAGCCAACAAAAAATAACAGATCCATCAACCTCTCACAATCACAGCGATCAGAACTATGGCGGAAACGCCCCCTCGCTGAGCGAAGAATCATGAGCATAATTCACTCGTTCGACCCGATGTCTTCTCCGTCTATGGCGACAGAAATTCTGTCGGACTAGCTTGAACCGGATATCGGATACTCGTATACCGCATATCTGATCGAGCTGTACGATCGTCGGAGAGCCCTGCCAAGCCTCCGAGGGGACAGAATCGGCGCTGACCCCATCGGATTGTGCAAGAATTTCCTTCGGGCGACCGGGAGCAACTACTTCATTGTCAATTTTGCGGAGAGTTCTTTCTCCACTAGCCCTCGCACCCTCAGCTTGACCCCGCCGAAGGAAGACCCCCGACTGCCGTCCGGTAAATCGAATAATCATCCCTGGTCACGGCGCAGAACCGATTCCTGGCAATCGGCAGTACTTGGGACTAGGCGTCGCAAATAACCGCAGATTTCAGGGAAAACCGCGGTTATGGTCTGCGGTTAACCGCTGTCCCCTGTGGGAGGACTGCGGACTCCCATGTTGAAGAAAAATCTTAAGAGCGGTTGATAAGCGCGGTCGCAAAGAGACCAGGATGAGTCTCGTCTGGGATACTCGCCTTATTCAATAAATCGAGCTGAGCCTCGATATCCTTCAGAATTTTCCCGATCTGATCGCTCTCCGAGTTGCCCATTTTCGCGCTGAGTTCCTTGCCGATGGTTCCGATGCCTCGGAATCTCTTCTGCGTCGCTTTCATTTCACCTTCGAGGGCCTTGTGCTTCTGCTGGACGGACACAAGCGACACCATGTCCCGCCCGGGTTTGAAGTTCTGGCAGGATCGTTGCTTGTCAATGATCTCCCTCTCGAGCTCTTCGCATTCAGCGACGAATCGGAACAAGTCTCTCGACGCCTCCAAGCGAGCCATTCTCGCTTTCGCGGCTACCTCAGCTTGAGAGAACAGACTTCCGAGTTCACCGAGTTTCTCTTGCAGCAACTTCTTATCACCGTGACCCTCTGTAATTCGGGATGAGAAATCGATTTAGGCGTCATTGAAACCCACGAAAGATCGTGATGGCGAGTCGGCACGATTCGTGACGAGCGGAAGCCAAGATATTCTCTTTCCTCGGGATATCACCGAGTCATATCAGATTCATTATCGCGTTCCGAAAGTAATCACCAACCATTAAGTAGCTGATTTATTTGTTTCGACAATCTGCCGAAGGTGTCTTTCTGTGATTTGAGTTGCGATGTGGCGATGGCATGCTTCTGAAGTAGATCTTCATTATCCATAAGATGCTTCCCCGTTTCGGTGGATCCGAACTGTCTGAGGAAATCTCTGAGGTTCTCGTACAGGTGGTCGATGTCCCTCAAAGCCGCCGTGAGCAGAGCTGCAAGACAAGAACTCTCAGAGAGGGGCGCCCGATTTCTTCAGGCATCGGAAGGATCAACAGAAGATCTTTTGGAGAACCTACCGTAAGAATTGAGGGTGTCGCGATGCTTCTCCAGCAGAGCGAGCAACTTATTCCATTTCACAATGATCTCATCGTGTCGATCCCGGATCGCTTTAACGTTATGATAATTTTCGTTTGTGAGTTCATCGCTCATGGCTGAGAGATTCTCGAAGCGATCCTTCCTGGCTATGATATCAGCGCTGATCGCTTCGTGCTTCATCAGCGTAGCTTCAACTTTCTGTTGGACGTTGGAACCGTAACGAGGGTCGCTCAGGACGTCGATCATGTCTTCGAGATAATTTTCTCGGACGTTGGATTTGTTCATGAATCTGTGCGCCATTGTCTCCAATCTCTTCTGACGGATCAGTTCCTCCTTGAGCGACACCTCACGACGGTGTTCAGCCCCTTCGAGAGACTCCCAAGCTTTTTCGATGTCCCCGACATGTTTACCCTCGGGAGGAGTGTAGAGCGGTTGACCTAAGTTTCCGGAGCAATCAAACAGTTAGAGTGATCTTATAGCCCGGTGGTTCCACTCTTCGTCACATTTTCGGAGGGGCTCATAGAGAATATTCGGGCGCTCACCTAAAGCTTTGAGCTTCGTCTGTATGGCGAAGAGATGAGCCTCGATCTCGGCTCGCTCAGTGTATCTCGGGGGTTTCTCGACGGTTCGGTATTCTTTGAACTGGGATAGTTCGTTCTGCACGCCCTCCACCGAGTTGGGATATTCCCTCTTGTCGAGCTGCACGACTTTCTGTTGAATCCAGGCGAGGAGCTCTGACATCATTTGCTCATAGGTTTGCTTTTGTCTGTCAACCTCAAGCATACGTCCGACGATCTGCAACCGAAACCTTTGGAATATTAATATTGGAACCGGGCTCTGTATTTTTCTTCTCGTTCGCGATCTGGTTCTCTCATCGGCAGTCATCTAGAGAAACGGAAACTCACATTGGCGATTCGGCGCCCACCGGTGAGTTCCTCCTTCATCCGGAAAAAGGTGTGATAGTAGGATGCAACATAGGTGAGAACGGACCTCTCATCCGGTTTCGGAACGTCGACATCTTCAGCGTCTAGCAATCTGTGGAACAACGAAAGAATTTCGTTATGGCTTTCCAATGGCGGCATTGGCTTCGGAAGTATCCCCCACTCATATGCACGCGTGTCAAGCATTCCCGGCGCCAATTAGGTAACTCACTTCGCCACACCGAGCTCTCTATGCGCGACTTCGAACGCATGGTTCAGGTTCTCAATATGGTTCTGAGGCTCGAGGTCCTCGTATTGGATGAGGTCCGGCCGATGCGAGTGGATGAGAGCGTTGAAACCCAAGCCATTCCTCCAGGATGTGCTGAAGTCACTGATATGAACTCCGGGATACCCACGAGTTTTGCGTTGGCACCATAGAAGCAGGGCCTCCTTGGCGGATTTCTTCTCAGAATTCTTCTCGTCATTGCCGATCTGTAAGCGAGCCCAACCTCAGAGGATCTTCTCCCGATTTTTTCCATCGTTGTCATTTATTAGGCCCCGGACGAGTTTCAGAGAAATTCACGAGGAACGCGATCGGCAGCAAAATACATTTTCTGATCTGTCGACAGTGGACAATAGTCGAGCGAAGGGATCGCGGTGTTCATCAGCGATCTGACAGTTTGTTGTCCGCCAAAATCGATCTTCCCACCCGTCTTACGTCTCACACACCTCGATTCGTTTATTCAATCCCATCGAGACGAAACGAAATGAAGCGTCGCTGTTGCCAGCGCCTCAGCTCAGCCAAAATTTGTTCCAAATAGACACACCCACACACGTACGCACAAACACGCCAAACTTCCGGCTGCCTCCTCTTCTCCACAAGGTGGGGAATCATTCATTTTGATTCATCAGATCAGGCAAAGTTGACGTAACTTCGTCATCTAGTTTCTGTCGTCGTAAGACCGATCGGACCGGTGGGCGTCGTGCGCGACGTCAGGTATTCTTGAAGTGATGGACCACGAAAGGTGGACCCGCCATGGAGGTAATAATAGAGCATTGGAAGGGTTTGTGAAATTCCATGCGCCTCGACCACGTCGTCTCTGCGTGATATATGTATTATATTTTCGAAAGCTCGACTACGTGCACAAAAGCGTCGTTTAAGAAACGCAACCAGACGGGCATGGGAAAACTGATCTCACTCGGTACTCGGTACTTTACCTGGATGGGATCGATCTCATGGATGACGAAGCGAAGAATTATTGTCCAGATGAGACCTAGGATCAAGCGCCGATTACCGTCCACGATGTCCTCCGCACCGATCGATTCGAGTCGGACCTGCAATAGTTTTATCGGAGTGATTTGAGGAACTTTTTCCTCCTGACTCAAGTGCGATTGTCTATGAACTGAATTTGGAGCTAGTGTGCCAATAGCCGGGCTCTCGCTAATCGTCGTTAGGTTTTCCGTATAGTTTCTGAGTTTTCCGAACTGTCGACCGATGCGTGCGAAGTCGTTCGATCGCGAAAGCTGTTCCCAGCCAGACATCCGTATGGACCTAACTTATCGAGTTCGTGTTTTTTGAGAGCCTGCCTCGTATTCAGACGGTGCTCTACTCTTGAGCGAAGTCGCCACACTCCTGCGAATTGCTACCGGGAGCTGCTGTGAAAGGCTCGGTCAGAGGCTCCGCATCGCGAACTGTATCGCGGAGACCTGACGAATACTTCAGTGTGTGGTGAGAGATTTTCAGGATCGATCAATGAGATCACGGTATCCTTCCGATGAGGGACCCCTCGAGGTCGAACCCTTGATCTGATTCTAAGGCACAGAACTCAATCGACGAAGCCCCACATCACGGGCAGCTGGGTTCTGCTCTTCTGCTACGCAGAGCCAGCGATTGACCAAATTCATGAGGGGTGGGATCGTTCGAGAAAGATCTCGCCCGCGACTTCATGGAAGAGCAGGAGAAAAATTTGGAATGCCGATGTTGTGCCACGCAAGCCTCTAGGCATGCCGTCAGTCAGTCAGTCACTCAGTCCGTCCGTCAGTTTGTCAGTCAGCCTGGCTCAGGCAGAACTGTCGCTTATTGAACTGTTTGTTCAGAAGTGAGATACATAAGAGGTTTGCTCGACGGGAGAGCGAGCAGAGCGTTGCTCACTCGTCAGTTTCATGCGGCGCCTATTCGCGCTACGGATTCGCAGGGAGCGAATCCGCAGGCAGAAAAACCTCCCGATCTTTAGCGCTCGGATGGACATGATTTTTTCCGTTCCGAGACCACAAGTTCCCTCTTCTTCTCCTTCAGGGAGCAGCGTAGAGGGCCTTGGAGAATTCGGAGACTCTGCTTTTGGTTCGCTCTCAGTGCAGCGACCTCCGATCCGAAATTGGAGTATTGGGGAGCTACACGGATGTTCTGATCAATCGTTGACGTTCGGCCCCAGTATTGGTTTCGGAACTCTTTGGCGCTATCGGCGGTCGTCCGATAAAAATTGTCGAGGATATAACGACTATCGATCAGCTCCGTGGCAAGGATCGGAAGCGACACGATTCGTCTTCTTTTTGATAAAAGCGAAAGTCAACCACACGGCGCTGGCAAGGGACTTCCTCAAAGCCGAGACAACGGCGGATGCAACTCCCACACGATGACAGCATTGGCATATCCACGACCATCTTCGCGGTCGTTGAGCTGAAACGTAACCAACCGAGTCGGCACAAACGATTCCGATCGGTATACACAAGGACGTTTATGAAAACTTTCTATTTACTCGCTCGTGGCTGGCGTGACGGCGTCATTGCCTATCCGTTCAACTTTCCCTGATCAGCAGACTGTCACCAAAGCGTTTTTCTGAGGTCATCCCAATTCCGACGATTGAGTAATGGCTCCGAGACGGCGTACCCACCGAACAGACATCGTCTGAGGCTCCGGACCGAATCCCCCATTCACTCTCAGCTCGAAGGAAGATGAATCTTCGATCCAGGAAATTCAGTCGATTTTGAATAAACTCGCCCTCCAGATGGACATCCCGAGTGTCTGCCATTTTTTATCCGCGATTCTCCGAAGTACAACAGAAGAACATTATGCTTGAGAATCGGAGACGTTTCCCTGAATCTTCTGGCACTGTTTATACAACGTCAGGAGTTGTATAGGAACCTAACGACTTTTGATTCGCACACCTATGGAGACACGATCGTTCACTGCACACCCGTCGATGCGAGTTGCTTTGCTCTTCCTATTCGAAGCGTAACTGAAGAGAATGTCGTTTACGAGCGATACGGTCGACCTCACTCACTGAAGAGACACATCGTTCGTGAAGTTTTCCTGCTAGGAACACGTCGCCAGGCTTCCAGAAGCGGTGAAAGATCGTGCACCCGGAATGTGTCCATCCCACTCGGAAGCCGACGAACGACGGTACGAAAATCTCCCCATCTGACTCGTTCTTCGAGTGAGCGCTTAAAGGATCCTCCGCCAACCGATGGACGGAGCATCTCTCCCCCGTGTGGGAACGCATTCACACCGAAGCCGGCGCTCCATCATCTCTTTGATAATTAGGCTGAATCTTGGGAATTTCTTGCGAGGAGAGAAGCTTAAAGCTCAAATACACCTGGATACATCCCTAGGCCAGAGCGACATCGGATCAGTCACGGACTTGTTCGGATTTGCCTGCGTGAGCCTTAGCAGCCCCAAATTCAATCGAGCACCGAACGTCTCGAAATTATGACGCTTCCGTCCGAAAGAAATTCCAGTCGTACCAGGGCACAGCAAGGACCCGCGGAGGCATACCTAAGTTCTTAGGTGTAGAATAGACCTCCCGGAATTGCTCCAGCGTGCGTCATAATGAAAGTATTCTCTCAATGGAATTGTCTACTCCGCACAGATGTCCATCGAGTTTCCTCGAATCGTTGCAGACGAGCCTGACATCATGGCCATGACGAAAACCGTGCAAGACCGTGATGGTTCCCGCTCATTGACCGTACAATGTCGAGCCCTCCAGCCGCTTGTTCCATTCGAGACTTACGTCATTCACCATGTCGGTCTATCGAGCGCGATGACTGGCAGCCGGTCTAACCGAAGCTGTCACAAAGGCTCCAGAAGCATAGAAGACTTTGAGTGGTCTGCTCAGCTAAGAGAGTTCGCTATCACACCGACACACTGATCGAATCTACTCTTCATGTCAAGTCGGAATAGCGTACATCTCTCCGTGAAATGAATCGATCACGCGATCAATTAAAGCAAGCCTCCCACGACCCGAGGCGGAACAGCCCGCGCGGGAGCGTCGGGGACTGCCGCGAGGAAGTCGAGGGCTCAACGGTAGAATTGACGGTGAAGAGCGATCCGCTTGCGGAGCTGATTGCGCGCGAATGCGGAGTTCTACGAGGCCTCTTTGTTGAAGCCGAAGTCCGATATCTGCGCACTATTGGATCGTTTGTCTTCAAGCATCATTTAATCATGTCAAGCAAGAGAGGAAAAAGAAACAGCGTACGTGTTCGTTCGAAAGAGCTTTCGCCGACTCATGAGAAGCAGAAGGAGAAGTATCTCGTCTAGACTGATGTTTGATGCTGTAGCGGATTAAGCTTCGAAGCCAGCAGCGAGCCCAGCTGACTGCGACTCGTATTCGCAGGAGGCACGCTCTGGTCAGCTCCATCATGGTGGAGTTCTCGATTCGGAGAAGGAGGGAAACGATGGTGAGGAATGTCGTCAGAGACACGTCCCCGGAAAAAAGACGAGTCATCGAGCGTGATTTCCCTCCCCAGGTAATTCTCTAGCAGTACTCGGCTATCGAGAACGGAATCCGAGAACTTTCGATCCCATTCGCTTGCAGTCTACGGAGACGCTAATGGTCGCTGGGAACTGACCCAAGGCCTTCATTGTTTCCAATTACGCTCTGGAAAACCATTCGGATTGTCAACTTCACTGCGATCGCGTCCCAAATGCTCGCTAGCAGGCTTTCAGTCGGACGTCGGAGCCTCGAGGGCTATAATTCCGTTTTCTGGGGTTTCCTCTCCGCTTGCAGCGTTTGACGACGCCGTCAGATTTCAAGAGAACAGCCACCCGTATTGAATGCTGGCACCGTCCGGAACATCGGCATCAGCGTCGATTTGGTCGTGTCGTCAACCCGTATCGAGTTGCCCTTCGCTTTGACGCGATTGACATGAGCGCTTGTTAATAGAATCACCGGCAGATCACGACATGCAAGTCACCGCAATGAGTCTCTGGGAACGATGAATTCGGGGTCCACGATAAGGAACCTGCCCGAATATTAAGGGTTCCGCGAGGGAACGCCCGGCGTCGGACTCACCTTTGTGTGCAGAAACGTCAAAGCTTTGTTGACATTCTCGATCTTGTGGACTCGCATCTTGCCGTTGTTTGGTTTCCCAAGCCTCTCTCCGGAAATGATCTCCAAGAGTTTCAGCAACTTCCGACCGTCGGAGAGGTCTGTGAATAGGTCGTCCACTTCCATTCGAGCCTGTAATCAGCGATCAGAGTGAGTACTCGAGCGGCTCAGAGAGTTTCTTATCGTGAAGTAACTGACGGGGAGAGAAAGGCAGACTCTTGTGCTACGGGAAGACCGTCCCAAACTATTGGGGGCTTTGGATATTCCGACGAAGGGAGAAAATATGGGTCTCCTCCTTGCGGGAGCGATTTTTCCAGATTTAATGCTCAGAAGATATGTCGGACATCGTAGAAAGCGACGGAGACGGAACGCTTTGAGGGAACCGGTACTCGTTGAAGAGAAATGGAAAACAGAGGCACCAGACGGCGACGCCAACTCGTGGAACACCCTCGTTCGAATGTCAACACTGTTCGATGGGCCTCCATGGCCGCGTGACCCTTTCGAGAAGTGTCTCTGTGTATTATTGGAGCCTCTTTCGGCACAAACAGCTCATTCGGGAGGACTGCCTTTCGGAGCTGAACCTGTCGGGATAGCCATGAACTTGGCTTCGCAAAAAAAGCCGAGACCCATCGCGACGCGCGTCTCGAGATTATTTCCTCGCAGCTCCGAAGCGAACATATGTGGAGTTTAGGGAAACTCAAACCATGAGATAGCTAGACGATCTGCATGAATATTGAGTGAGACTTACCCTGGAGAGGTACGAGTTCATCCATTTTGTGAAGGTCTTCTTTTGGATATGGAGTCGTTCCACTTGAAGCTGTCGGATACGTCCTCTCTCGAACTCCTGCGCCCCGGAGCGGACTTCACCTTCCCGCGACATGGCGGGAACAATATCTGCGCGGGGAAAAGATAAATTCTTCATGAATTTACTCGTCGCTCCAAGCCCTAATTTTTCTATCTTAGGTTTTAGGACGGGAGGTCAATTTATTTTTTTAGCGTCCTCCATTTATTTTCTGCCGCCTCCGGGCCTTCCGAGTGTCTCATCGATTGATCCAGACATCGAAGGCACGTCGAGCGAAGCTTGATAAAGATGAAGAGACACGAGAGGGAGAGAATAAAAACACCCGAAAAGCAGAGAAATCCCACGCAGAACAGCAGGTACTCGGGAATCCGTTAGGTAGCAGCAAATCTTTGTTCGGATGTCGCTCCGTATCTTGACTCAGTCAGACGCCAGACGGTACTTGGTGACCCACATAATTTGCTCTGGCTTCAGACCTTTCACCGACGGCAGCCATGTATGATCGCGACTACGTATCTTCTACAACGGCACTTCGACACGTCTGGATAGCGAAGAATCGTAGATCTCCGATTTGAGAAGATCTGCCGTAGCCCGACCGGACTAATACACAGTCACAGAATCGAATGAAATTTCTGTTTCTCGGCGGAGCCTGTGGCGATCGATCCCCAATCTTACGCGCCAGATCGAACCCGAGAACGTGGATCCTCCGGACCAGATTTTGGGAGTACATTAATCGAGAGGAGATCTCGATGAGAGCACGTCCTGAGCCTCCTGGTCCCTACATCCTCGAAATTCCCCTCCCTTCAGCGACACCTGGAGCTGACAGAAGACTAGCGCGAGACTCTACACGGCGACCGCTCGTCAGAACGTCAGGCTATCACTGAGCCAATGACTCTGCGAGACAGTCGGACCGAAAATCGGTTTCCGCGAACGGTCTCACGGAAGAGTAGGAATAGAAGCGATTTGGAGAGCAGGCGCTCTTGGAGAAGCAAGACGACAAACAAACAGATCGTACATCGTCTGACGACTTGCATTATGCTCGGTCGTGGAACAAAACGGCCATGGCTCGAACGCTTCGTCCGAGCGAGGAACAGCCATTCCTCAGAAACTTAGTCACGCCCGATAGTGATTCCAGATATCCAATGTAAATTTCAAAGATGAGCTTCAAGGCCCCAGTCGCTGCCCATTCGTTATGATCTTAGGGCTGGAACGGAATCTGCGATCAATCCGGCGCGCGTACTCACGGGAAGACATAACTCACTTCATTCGTTCGTTCGAGGAGCCAAGCTCGAAAATCTCAGACGAGTTATAGTTCACCGGTAGGTCACTGTTTACGAACGCGGCAAATGGGCCAAGCCTGCAAAAGCACAGGACATTTCGCGGCGGAACGCCTATCATAATGATAAGTCAGATTACATCTCAATCTCTTGGCATTAGGAATGCCGAAACTTTGTGCAAGGGCTCTCATTTTAGCAGCGAGGCTTCGTTGGAATGCAACTTTTCGTTGACGTAGACCATTTCCACGCGGTCAGTTCCGTGTAGATTCGTCCTATCCACCGCGCGTTCCCACGGTATCAGATGCAGTTACACTCAGTCAGAGAGGGCACACACGGTAGAGTCACAAAGTCTTCCATGAACGATTTGATGGTGAGCTATTAAAATTTCCATTCCGGCCCTGACCTCGGAAAGCACCAGGTCGGATGTTTTGGCGCTTACGTGGCTAGTACCGATCCACTCCCTGTCAAAGCTGTGATATCATTCGGGGACTGTGATATTTCTCGCTTCGGTTGCGGGCCATTCTACCATTGGAACAAATACCGGGCTGGTCTGTCTGAACTCCCAAGGTCTTCTCTATCGCCGAGAGGATCTTCAAGATGAAGACACTTAGAGATGGGAATCACAACCAGAAGCGAAGCGGCGGCAGAGGAACGGCTCCGTGAACGCGCGACTCTGGAAAAATCTGCTCTAGGGCTCGGAAAACGGTACTGTCTCGACGGGCGTCTTCGGGAATTCCATGAGGAATTATCGAAAGTCGAAGGTGCGGTCGTGGGAGCCGCCACCGTCATCGTTCCAGCTCTCGTGATTCGTGAGACCCGGATTCAGTGGCATTAGGGAGCGATGGCTCAACAAGGCGAGAAGTGTATTTCACAAATCACAAAATTCTCACTACTATGACACCGTCTCTTGACTGGAAATATATACGCGAATCGAGGGGGAGTATTCTCAGGGGAAAAGCGACGGCAGCTCGTGGCTACGACCACGCATCATTACGAGCGAATATGAGCGAAACTTTCGTCGCGGTGGGCTGCTCATTTGACAGGGTCTGTGCTCAGTCTACTACCGAGGAGCCACATGGTGTCGGTCACATGAAAACGGGGTCCAGATGGAGCAAACGGCCAATGGATTTCAGCGACAGAGATTCGCAGCGAAAACACTTCTGTGGCCCGGAGTGGGAATCCACCATCAGGAAGCTCTTCAGAAGCCGCAACTGCGGGCCGCTACGACTACGACGCCTACACTATCCTTTCAAATTACCCTTAAGTATTTCATACATCAAGAAAGAGTTAGAACAAATATCGATAGAAGAGAGAGTTAGAAGAGTTAGAGAGAAGAGTTAGAACAAATAAATAATAATGACTATATGTGCACGGAATCAGCTGTCTGACGCTCAAACGCATCGATAATCACATTTCTCCAATCAGCGGCTGTATAATTCTCGGTGGAATCTCTGCCTCGGGAAGTAGGCTCATCGTCTGAATCTGCGGTCACTAAGCGAAGCGCTGCTCGCGGCAGATTCGATTCTGCAGCGCCGTAGCTCACGCTGGCTCGAGAATCGGTGACTAGGAGGGCGCCAAACTTGACAGACACGCTCGCGACGTCGATGACGGCAGCAGCGTCAGCGGCTACGCCGGCTCTTGTGATGACAGAAACTGCATATCAAGGCCGCCGCAGAAAACCTATTTCGAACAGGCGAACGCTCTCAAGCGACAGCGGCCGCCGGTGGAATTTCAAAAATCGAACGCACGGAACGGTGCTGCTCGGACGGCCGGCGTCGTTTGGGTACAGCGCTCAATGAAACGGTAGCTTTCGACTGTGACTCGTGTCAGAACCGTCGTGACCTCGCATGGGAGAAAGAGCAGCTACCTGTTTCGCAGAGAAGAGCAGCATATTAAAAGCGGATTTGCAAATTATGCATCATCAGAAGCGACTGATTCTCATAGCCGCGACGACGAGCTCATCTGGCCGCGAAGCTAACTTATGGGTACATGGGTCGACGAGCGATTTGTCCGCCGCTCAGATCCGCCGATTCCGTGAACTCATAGAACTGAATGACAAGAGATTCTGCGAAAAAAAAATCGACTCTTCTCAAAATGCCGATCGTTCGCTTTTACGAGTTGAGTCGCTAAGTTGTATCTTGCGGGCACCGACCGCAGAACGCGGTCGCGTGTCATAGAGCGCTGTGACAGCAGTGAAACCGTGGTTTTCCGAATCGGAAAACAATGCTCTCGACCGTGGCATCATCAAAGCTCCGATACATGAATTCGGCAGAAAATACGCAATAGACGTCCGCTCGTAGGAACAGAGAGAGACGAGCCAACTGGCGCAAGCGGATCACATGATATTCGAGTGCCACTCTGGCCAGTCGGAGAAAAAAATCTCGTTTTCCAAGCGGCCGTGTGAGTGCTGTTTGTCGTTCTCAGAAAGCGGCATGAAAATCGTAATTTCCCGGCTAATTTGAACACGGTGTCGTGAACTTCTACCGAAGCGGGGGACTTTCTGCTCTGAGAAACGGCGAGAAGCCCAAGTCGAGACATTTTGAAAAGTCCCACAATGGCGTCTGTTCTCGCACTGCGAATGTTGATCGTTAACAGTCGCTGGCAAGGCAGTCTGAAACGAGGCAGTCCGCACTTCCAGACGAATCGAGGACTATCCGATCGACGAGGTGTACCAGAATTGCTTGCAAACCGTTCCCCCACCCCTTCCGCACGCTTCCAGGAGTCGAGCGCGGAGATCCTCATGCGCCTCTCGAGATCCTGAATTTACAGTGCAGTGTCAGAGGGGATCTGTTCGCTATACGAATGATCCGGCTGACTCCTATGAAGCTTTGATCCCTCAACGACGAGAGGAAGAGCCATCTCCCGTTGGGATCGTTCCAGACCTCTGGATCTGAAGAATGCGGACAATTCGCCATTGAATTCAGAAAGGAACCGCTCTACCACTCATAGGGTATTCCGCCGTGAGCGGAACTGTTCCTCACATTACTCGGTCAGCTGAAGGAAACGGGATGAGGAAAATTATCCCCATCGATCCATCGGTTGTCGGATTCCTCCGCGCCTTCGAGCGAGCCTCCCTCATTCTTCGCTTCCAATTGTTCTCGAAAAATTCCGAAACTCCTCCCCTAGCCAAGTATCCTCCATAGGGGAGTGGAGATATTCGTCTCCGATCCAACAGCAAGAGATTGCTCCCTCTTTGAGAATCGCGGTCATAAATCAAAGGCCTCTCCATCATCGCGCATCAGGTCTCCCAGTCTTGCATTCGGTCACCCGAGAGATTGAATCCACTGAAATCACCGAAATCGAACTCTCCCAAGGACATGGGACTCTCCCGCCTGTCATCGGAACATCTGATCGGTCACCATAAGCTTCAGTCACAAGACCATCGCGTGGACTCGGGAAGCCCCCAGGATATCGATGATCACCACCGAGCGATACACTGCATGACCGTTCGCGGGTGACTAAAAGCCAGGTTGGCAAGAGGATCTCTCTCGAACGAATGCTTTACCGGCGAAAATAGACACAACGACCGGTAAAGCGACAAGTCAACTGCACCCTTCGTCTTCGTTCCCAACACGAGTTTCTCAACGCCACACAGACACAGGCGCACACAAGCCGTCACTCGTCAGTCTCGTATCTTCAGCGACTTCAACGAATTCCAATTTCATTGGTCGGAGAGCCATGGAAGATATCGTCGTTTCCAAACGACGGCAGCTCTCGCTGACACATACGCTCGCTAAACTTCAAGGGACTGATATTCTTTAGAACGTCAGGGAAGTCGACCAGTCAGCGGTCAACTCAAGCGATCAATCTGCAATCCGTCGCCGTGGCTTCGGAGCAATCGGGAGGAATCAACTCCGAGACTCGTCATCGTATTTTACGGAAAAGCATGAAACGTCAGGGCCGGAATGCTGTGGAATAGTTTCTGTCAGGCAGAAAAGCACGTAAGCAGCTTTTGTGTCAAGCGGAACTCCTTCGGTTCGAACCAGCAATACGTGTATTGCCTCTCGGCTCCTTACAAACCGTCGCAACGTACACTTGACCGAGCCGTACCTGTAGATCTCTATGACACGATGTCGATAATGGCGGAATCCTGTGTCTCCGAGCACATCACTCGCACTCCACCGGCACTGCTAGCGTATCCGAAATTGTGACAAACTCTCCGCTGGTGTCTCCTCTTAAAATTATTGTCAGTTGTACCGCGGCGGACGGCGCACACACTACCACGACAACACGGCACTCTGGATGACCCGCACAATGTGCCGCTCTCCTTAGTTTCAGTAGTTGACGCCAGACGGCGCCGCACCCCGGGCGCCAACATTCGAATCGTTGTCAGTCCACATCGAGATCCGTGTCGAAATCTTCACGTCCATCTGATCATCCTGTGATCACAGAATGCGAAGGGGGGTCATCTCCGTCCGAGGCCGTGAACGTATCCCCCGACATGCGAGCTTTGTTCTCGCGTCTCCGCTTCCGCCGTTATCACATAACGGTTGCAATGCCCCAATAGTCGGAAGACGCGCTCATGCATGGCACGTGCAGGTTGTGAGTGCTCTGAAGCGCACAGCATCCCGCTCGGATCGCCACGGATTGAATTCCTCGGAGTCACAGGTGGTGCGTTTGCGTGGACGATGCCCTGACGTAGCGATCCCGAAATCGATCGCTTGAACTCGCCGGCGGCGTGGGGGTAGCCGAATGAGTTCAAAACCTAGTCGGATTTTCTGTTTTCTCAACAAGGTCCGCCAAGCGGAAAGCAAAGAGCATTGTCGATTGATGGGGCAGGATCTCCATCCCTAGGGACGAGGGAGGATCCCGATTTTTCTCTAGCCTGGATGTCGCCGCCGATCAATTCCATCACTCAGGACTCATTGCTGCTGCATCGTTGCAAGTCGCAAAACGTCGCGTTTCTATCGTTAATCATGTCTCTGATGGATATCCCGCGGGAGATCTCCCCAGAGCCTTCGACTGTCAAGATCCGCATCCGGTATGCGACCGTTGGTCCTCGGCATTCAGAAGAATTCACCATCAACTCTTTCGAACTCCAGTTCGCTGTTGACGCCAGGCTCGCCGATATTCATCTCCTGATATTCGTGTTCTGCCATGGCGTCGGCGTCGATCTCTAGGAACGGTCTCCCTGAGTCGACCTATTCAAGCCGGCGCAGCGGCTTGATCTCGAATGCATCAGCTTATCGACACGGGAACCCTCCGAGGCAGATTACAGTCAGGAGCGCCCAACCCCCGCTGTGTTTGACGCTTGGAATCGATCTTTCCGGACGCCCGCTCTCACGCCGGGAAACATTCTGTCCTCTAGTATTGTTATCAGAGTCAGATCATTCATGTGCAGCGATCAGCACGAGCATGCGGTGACTTCCGGTCTCGAATAGTACGGCGACTCGCTCCACCTATTATAACTCGTGGTTGATGGACTTCTTAGTATCTAGCAGGATCGGATACGAGTCGCCAATTTGCGACGAGTGCGTTGCATACGATGAGAGGAGCTCGTTGCTCTACTCAATCGTGCCGGTCACCTCCACTCAGGAACCCAACGGCTTGTTGAGAATATACCCGGGAACCGATTCCGGTCGGTCCGGCATGGGCAATCGGACCGGATTCCATCTTTTCGATTATTGTAGATCTGGGAATATTGAAGTGCTTCGTTATAATCGCGGCTCGAGAGTTCTACACCGTGTTCCGCTCCGTGCTCCTTTCCGGCCTGACCTCCCTAACTGGTCGGCTGCCACGGTCGTTTTGTTTCCGGAGTCATCAACGAGCTTCGGCTCGTAGGGGAAAATTCGAGAATTCTGTTGAATGATGTTCCCCGCAACGGAGAATTCGATGCGGTATTCGGGAAATTTTCGGGAGTTGCTGTTCCACTGCCTCATGCCATGGGTCCCTGATCCAGTATATGGCCGAATTCTCTGGAATTTCTGCTGTATTCCGTCCGAGTCTCTTCACGATATACTATCGCTCGATACGGCGCGAGGAGTTCGCTTATGCTGTGTTACCACGAGCAACTGAACTCACGAGGTCTAGCGCATAAGTTGGTGGAGATAGAATATACTTTTTTTATTAAGTTCGTTATCGAGCTCTTAAAGAGGGATCTTTCCGGTAGCTGTTCAAAAACGAGCGCGAACACGACATTCCTCCCTTCTCAGACGACTGTCCGTGTCTCAACGCTCGAAACCAGCCAACGTGACATAATCTTTCCAACCCTTGACGGCGCGCGCTGGTTGCACGCGAAGCGGCTGGGGAGATTCCGCTCGAGAGCCCGACGTGCCATGAGCGGGAACCAAGGGTCAAGGGTGCTACTCACTCCGCAAAGTTCGTGTACGGTCGGAGGAGTTGCAACCCGGATTCAGCGAGCCATATCTCACTCGGAGGAATACTGACGTACATGGACAGTTTTTCCTGAGATCGAGAACTGTTTCCCAGGGCTTTCCCCCTGTATTGCCAGAGTAGAGTTCTCTCACTGCGGGATCTTCAGTTTTTTTTTCTCGGGCGCCCTCCCTATCATTGGAGCTTTTCGCGAAGTATATCGGGATGGGACAACCCGGGGTCTGATAGTCAGCATTGAATACTTTCTCAACAATTTATCGACCCACTCCTCCCACAGGGTGATGATGGCCTTATCGGTTGGGCCGTCTTCGTCGAAAATATTGTGGACGAGAGCTGTTGCGGAGCAGTATTTGACGCTCCACTGGTCTACCTCCTCCAGCCTTCTACTTCACACGATCGACCCCACAGTGGAAACAAACAAACTCATTACCTTCGTTCGAAAGCGGGTACGTCAGCTGGAGGCCACCAAACTTGCCGAGGCCGCGCAGTCCGCGTCGAGAGAGGCCAACACGGATCGAAACTCGATCAGACCGATTGACAGCAAGCATCGGCGTCTCGTGAGCACGGTGGCCGCAGGCGTCGCGAAGCCGAAATCCAACACTTTCATTCCCAAACCGTGTCTGTTCTGCGCCGTCAAGGACCACAACAGCTCTAAGTGTCCAGCCGCCATCACCATCGCTCGGCGCCATGAAATTCTCCGCGAGCGAAGACGATGCCCAAGGTGTTTCCGAACCGTTCACCCGTCTCCGACTGAGTGTCGAGGCCCCCGATCTCCGTGCCTCAAGTGCAAATCGCCCGAACACTACACGTCGATGCATTCGGACGAAGCCACAGGGGCTAGCCCGGCAGTCACCGTGGTCTCCAGCGCGCACTGTGCTAGCAACTCCCTGCTCTGGACGATGTGCGCATACGTTACGAACCATGGATTAAGGATCCCTGTGAGAATCTTCGTCGATTGTGGAAGCTCTCTGACATTTGTGACCCCGTCCCTGCGTGCCATGCTCCGAGAGACGCCCGTCAGTGTACACGATCTCAACATCCAAGGCTATGACAACTTTCAGAGGAAGAAGGGAGTCCCGGTGTACAAACTCTGCATCGCCGGACCTAGAGGCGAGCCGGCGATCCAGGTGCTCGCTTACGAGTCGGAGTTCGGTGTCAACCCTTCGAACATCAGTCCTCGTAATGTCAAGGACGCGCTGGTGAAGTTCGACCAAAACTTCCCTCTCGCCGACCGATCTTACGTGGGAGAGTGGACCGCGTCACCGCCTGCGATTCTACTGGGCATGAACCAGTGGAACAAATTCAAGACCAACGCCGCTCCAAAGGACATAATCGGAGACATCGCCGCGTATCCCACCAGGTTCGGGTGGGTGGTGGGAGGGGACACTGAGCCCGAGGGTCCCACTCGGGGGAGCGATGTCGTAGTGGCTCACGCAGTATGCTGCGTCGCTTCCCTCGCGCTGTCGCGGCCCGCCGAGGAAGTCGAGCGACTTTGGAACCTAGAGACGATTGGAATCGTGGACAAGCCGTCCGCGAACCCTCACCTATCCGCCGACGACGAATCAGCACTCCAACAATTCCACGCCGGGTTGACTTACGCGGACAACAGATACACCGTGTGTTTCCCGAAACGCTCCTCGATCGAACAGCTACCGGATACTAGAGAGCTCGCAATGCGACGCTTAAGCCGAAAAATCACAAGCTTGTCGGCGACGCCGGAGCGCTATGAGCGCTACAACAGCGAGTTGCTTCAATTCGTTGCGGATGGATTCGCAAGAGAGATCGATCCTGCGGAAAGCAACCCGCCGACGACATATCACATGCCCCACCACGAAGTTGTAAACTCCTCCGGGAAGTGGCGCATCGTGTTCGATTGTTCGGCCAAGGATCGTGGCGGGACCTCGCTCAACGAGCACCTGATCCAGGGCCCAAACCTCAACCCAGAGCTCATCACGCCGCTTCTGAGGTTCCGAACTAATCGAGTTGCCATCTCCGCGGATATCGCCAAGGCTTACATGATGCTGGCTGTCCATGAGGAGGACCAAGCTTCGTTCCGGTTTATTTGGAAAGGCCCTGGCGATGACGACACCAGGACATTCCAGATGACTCGCGTCACCTGGGGCGCCTCCCCCTCCGGATTTCTTTTGGCGGCCACGGTGCGTGAGCATCTCAGACGGGCCGGACCCGACGCCGCCCGACTCGGTTCCTATTTCTACGCCGACGACTTTCTCCTTAGCTGCCGGTCTGTCCAAGAGGCGAAGGAGGTCGCGGATCTCGCACGCAGGACCCTGGCCAGCGCGGGCATGAAATTAGCGAAATGGAAGAGCAGCCCACAAAAAGTCCTTGAGCATCTCGCGGCGACAGGAGTCGACAGAAACAATTTCGATAAGCAAACATCTGGATTCTTCAAAGTTTTGGGAATCTCGTGGAACACCGAGACGGACACCTTCCATTTCTCCATGCCCGATCTGCGAACTCAGACGGATGCGGGTCGTGTCATCACGAAGCGCCGTGCTCTCAGCATCATTGCCGCCTTTTACGACCCACATGGATGGTTCCTCCCCTTCACGCTCCGAGGGAAGCTGATTATCAGACGCCTCTGGGCGGTCGATCTTCAGTGGAACGATCCTATCCCCGAGGACGTCCACAAGGACCTCACAGACTGGATATCCGAGCTCCGGGTTCTGCAGGACCACAACCTTCCAAGACGATTTTCCGGCCGGGAGGGAGACGCCGCCTCTTACCATCTCCATATGATGGGAGACGCATCGCAGAAGGCGTTCGCCGCCGTCGCATACATCGAGTACCGATACACGGACTGCACAAGTGACTTTGCGCTCGTAATGTGCAAATCGCGAGACGCTCCCCGCGAGCCCCAGTCCCTTCCACGTCTTGAACTCCTCGCTGCCGTCATCTCTGTGCGCCTCAGTCGGTTTCTCATCGATAACCTCGACATCGAGTTCAGCAGCGTGTGCTACTACACGGACTCCAGAATCACATATCATTGGGCGACATCGGTTCGTCCTGGCGTCTGGAAGCCATTCGCCAACAACCGTGTCTTGGAGATACAGAAGCACTCAAATCCGGACCAATGGTTCTTCGTCCAGGGGACCAGCAACGTGAGCGACCTCGCCACACGTGGTATATCGGCCGAGTCACTGATCAATTGTTCCGATTGGTGGTTCGGTCCCTCGTGGCTAAGGTCGCCTCGTGAAAGGTGGCCCATCTCGCAACCTCAAACCGAAAGCTCATCGTTCGAGCAAGTAAGCGATGAAACGCGAAAGGTGGTTGCTCCCGTGGTGCTCTCGGAGCCGTTGGTGGATCTCGACCGGCACAGTACCGCCGGCCGTGCGATCCGGACCATGGGCTTCGTCCAACACTTCCAGAACCCATCGATCTGCATCGCAGGGCGGAAGCACACATCGTCCGTGAATGTCAACAACAGTTCCTACGTCAGGAGATCACGGACACCAAGGCGGGACACCGCCCGTCTTCGTCGTCGAAGTTGGCAGCCCATCAGCTTTTCATCGACGAGCAAAACATACTGCGCGTGCGAACGCGGCTGACCGGCGTGATCTATACTTACGATCAGATGAATCCCGTGGTCATTCCCGGTGAGTCTAGGCTAACCCGACTCCTCGTCATTGACGTGCACCGAATCAATGCCCACTTCGGAGCCAATGTAATCCTCATGCATCTCAGAGAAAAGTTCTGGATAACACGTGCAAGGCAGCTCGTTAAGAGCGTCCTCCACAAACGTGTAGTATGCCGTCGCCGCCAAGGTCGCCACGCTCAACAGATTGAGGGGGCTCTTCCCGAGTTCAGGACAGAGTTCCAGGCGCCGTTCGCCGCCGCGGGCGTGGACTTCTGTGGACCGTTTCACACTCGTGACCGCGACGGTCCTAGGAAGACTTACATCGCGCTTTTCACGTGCGCCGCGATCCGGGCGGTTCACCTGGAAGCCGTTCCGTCACTATCGGGCCCCCAGACGATGCTGACAATTCGCCGCTTCCTCGCCGCACACCCAGCCTGCACGCACTTAATCTCGGACAACGCAAAAAACTTCACGAAAGCGTCTACCGAGCTCAAAAAATTGTTCAATTCCGTCAACGAATCCCAGATGCGGGAAATGTTGCGCGGCCGAAATATCCAGTGGACCTTCATCTGCCCGAGAGCCCCGAATCGGGGAGGTTTCTACGAAAGGCTCATCGGCGTCCTGAAGTCGTGTCTATACAAGACCCTAGGTCGAAGCCTCGTGGGATATGAGGAATTCCGAACCATACTCTGCGAGCTCGCAGCCGTCATCAACAAGAGACCGGTTACATACGTGTTGAGCGACCCGGACTCAGTCGAGCCGCTAACCCCGGACAACTTCCTTCAGGGCGGCCCGAGCTTCGTGCCCGTCGCCCAGGCGGAACCCGTGGACCTGCTCCGCAGCGACGAGGGGTACAGCGCCGAGCAGCTTCGCCATGGGCTTCTGAAGCGGACAACTTACTTCGCTAGCCTTCGCTCACGCTGGGCCCGCGAATACCTGATGCTCCTGCGCTCGCTAAACGCAACATGGGGCTCTCCGACCGCGCCGTTGGCTGTCGGAGAGGTTTGCCTCGTCCGGGACAGCAATCGGTCCAGGACCCGTTGGGATTTGGTTCGAGTGGTCGAGGCCCATCGCGGCCGGGACGGGCATGTGCGCACCTATACGGTAAAGTTCGGGAACGGGACCTGTTCGCGGCGTGCCAGCCAACCTACTCCATCCCCTCGAGGTCGCGGAGTCCGAGAGCCCGAGCCGAGCGTCTACGGCGACAGCCGATCGAGCAGCCAGCGTCGCGACTTAGGCCAGCGGCCAACGATTGTAAATCCGAGATCACCTGATGATTCCACTAATACCGACTACTGTTCATTGTGATACTGTAAATAATTTCCGTGCGCAGACATAACTAATTGTGAAGACGTCCCGTTTTGCCCCGGGAGTGTCAATAATTCCGTACGATAACGAGCGAACGGGAAGATAACAGCGTTCCGATTCTTAACAGATGTCGACTGCACGTCGCTACAGCCGGCGTCACTCTAGATCAATAAACATTCATTCGGTTCCTAGCAATCGTGACTGGTACATCGCCGTCGAACCGACCGTGTTTTTCATCGCCTTTTTCGTAGGACCGAGGACTCCGAGCCCGTTCCATAGCTACCCCAACGACCTGAAGATACATACGGAGGATCAACGAACCGGATTCCCCACAGTAAGTGTGCTCTGTCACCTTAATAAGATCATCTGTCGTAATGGTGATCGGCTTCCCGGATAACTCTTCAAGGCTCGCCTTTATTCACACAATATTGGCAATTCATCTTCGATCGCAAGACGAAGAACTGTTCCTCATTCAGCTCAATTCCCTCGCAGGTTGTTGAAGGCATGGAGTTCCTCGAGAAAATCAACGGGGTCATTTGTGACAAAGACGGAAGACCTATGTAAGACATCATGATTTCACACACTGTGATCCTGGACGATCCTTTCGCAGAGCCTGAGAACTTGGAATATTCGGCATCCCCCGAAGTTACCCTCGAGATGCTAAAATCCGATCGTATCGCCTGTTATGAAGACATCGCCGAATATGAAGGCCGCACAGCAGAAGACCAAGAGGAGTCCCTCGCCGAGGAGAAGGAGGAGGAGTCCCTCGCCCAGAGGACAGAGGAGGAGTATCTCGCCACAAAGTCGGAGAATCAGCTCTCCTTCCAGGAATCAGGAAAGAAGTCCCTCGCCGAAGAATCGGAGACGGAATCCGTCGCCGAGAGCCCGGAAAGATCGGGGGCGCAGATCTCGCTCTAGAGACCGATATTCGGAGCGTTCGAATCGATATTGATTGAGACCTAGACCTTCAAAATAAACATGTACATATAATGAATTCATTGAGTATCATCAGTTTTACACGGGCCGTGGGATCCGGAGACTTCTCATCATCAATTCGAAGTCATTCTTTTCGATCGAAAGCTGCGAATCCATTCAGCAAAACCTCGTCTTCCCGTCGAACGTCCTGGTCCCAGCTGATCAGCAGAGAGTTTTCGGCCGGCTTTTCAGTTGTCGCAGATGGGAAAATCAATGACACATGAGCCTCGAGATAGCCTGATCAGGGTTCAGTCGATGGGCGTTCCGAAGCATCCCCATGGGACAATTGGTTTTTGGGCTCTTCCGCTGCCCATCGTGGAAATCGAAGCAACGATTTTCGAGGTCTCCCAGTTCTCCAGCGGGGGTCGCTCCCGTCCGGAGCGTCGTGCTGAATCCGATGACGTGCAATCCCTGACGATACCGATTCTCTCCGATCGTGGTTATTCTTAGGCTCTCTTGAAGGATCACCTGTGCGCCAGAGGGAGGGGAAGTGACCGAAAAAGTGGCCCCGCAGCCCGTATCTGCCTCGTGAACCCGAGAGGAGTCGTGGGCTTGGACGCACTCCGATACTTCATGCTAAGAGGAGCCTCATCCGTGTCGGATTCCACCAGCCGATGCAAAGGGTACATCCGGCCAGGAATAAGAATGATGAATACAAGATTACTCTCTCTGGTTCCGAGTCGAAACTCGAGCTTCGCCTAGATCACATCATTATGTCACGTGATTCGTGACTAGGATCCCAGGATAGGATGGAGAATCACATTCCGTTTATTCATCGATGGAAATGAGCTCGTTCTATCAGGAGCCAGTGGACTCTTCCACTCAGTAGGAAGTACCAGGTTCCGAACCTTCACTTGTCTTCGGGGCGGGCTCGTAGTAGGTGACGACTTTTTTGGGCAATAGATCATCAATAGGGAATCTTCTGACGAGTAAGTCTGGATGGATATCTGGACGATCGCATCGAATTCTCCACGAGATCTTCCTCTCGGTCGACCCACTACTCCCACAGGGTGATGATGGCCTGATCGGTTGGGTGGTCTTCGTCGAAAATATTGTGCCGTACCGCAGCTGAAATATTGCCAGAACAGGGAGTTTAGCGAATGAGAAGAAGGACGAGAGCTGTTGCGGAGCAGTATTCGACGCTCCACTGATCTACCTCCTCCAGCCTTCTACTTCACACGATCGATGAACATCTCAGGAGTGATCAATCCGGCATCCAGACGCTCCCAGTTCCCTACAATCGTTCGATTGTTCATCCTGGTCGCGCTCGAGAGCTCCGAGCGGATATTGGAAACCCCATCGAGTGCAATCAGTTGATCGACGGCTACATCTTGAGCTATGCCACAGAAGGTGGCTGGACGATGATGAATCAGATATAATCTCAATCAGCGGACTTGTAGAACTATAGAAAGCAGAGATCTTCCCCGGAGTCCTTCGAGGCTTGGCACGAGACTCACAGGTTAAATTCCAAATCGCACCGTGAGCCCCTACCTTCCGATTCCCGATCAAGGAGTTGCTTGACTCCTGTGCGTTGTTAGTCCGACAGTTCATTATGAAGAGAGAGACTGGCCGGACCTACGTTCTCGAGCTACTGTAGGCGTAAGTAGTCTAGGAACGGCTGAATTGTGTGAATGAAGGCGAGCATTGACGAGTTATCCACGACAACGATCACCATTACGACACGACAGATGATCTTATTATGATGACAGAGCATATTTACCTCTCCGAAGACACAATGTCTCTGCTCATCAAAGTAGTCGAGGTTGTCAACGGGGTCATTTGTGACAAAGACGAAAGACCTATGCAAGACATCATGATTACACACACTGTGGTCCTGGACGATCCTTTCGCAGAGCCTGAGAACTTGGAATATCCGGCATCCCCCGAAGTTACCCTCGAGATGCTGAAATCCGATCGTATCGCCTGTTATGAAGACATCGCCGAATATGAAGGCCGCACAGCAGAAGAGATCGAAGAGGCGTTGAAGGAGAAGGAAGCGAAAGCTCGAGCGACGGTCTTGAAAATCATCGGGGATCTCCCAGACGCGGACATGGCACCTCCGGAGAACGTTCTCTTCGTCTGCAAACTCAACCCGGTGACGAACGATGACGATCTCGAGCTGATTTTCTCGCGTTTCGGAGAAATCCAAGGTTGTGGAATTATTCGCGACAGGAAAACGGGGGAGAGTCTTCAGTACGCCTTCATCGAATTCGCCAACAAAGAGTCGTGTGAGAACGCTTATTTGAAGATGGACAATGTTCTCATTGACGACAGAAGAATCCACGTCGACGTCTCTCAATCGGTCGCTCTCTAGAACCCCACATGTAAACAATCAGATAGATAGGGTGGTGCTCTCAAATAGGTACTCTCCTAGATCCCTCACTGTATTCTATCTCCACCTCCTTTGCGGTCTGAACCCTTAGCCAGATCAACGCCAGCTCTGGATTGGAGCACAAAGCCTAGAATCGCAAATCTTGATAAGTCTGAATCGACCTTAAGGGTTCTTCCCGCCGCGCCTCTAATGCGCCGCTGAAATAGCGGAAAAATCACTGTTGATTTTCGATCGATTGACCGGGTACGAATTGTGCTCGATCATTCGGACTGGCGGTTCGATAGGTGGCTCGTTTTAATCCAGAACTCATTTCTCGGCTACAATCGCTCTGCCATGTCTGTGGTGATTGAAACAACCATGGGGGACTTCACGGTCGATCTCTTCGTTGAGGAGAGGCCGCGAACTTGTATGAATTTTCTGAAACTTTGTAAATTGAAGTATTACAATCTACAACTTTTTTTCAAGGTGAGTTCCAGCGTCGCTCCGGGGGAAGACACTGACTCTGAGGACTTTTGAGCTTGTCCCCATTTGACGTGAAGCACAGCGTATCTTGTGTCTTTTCCCGCGTGAAGAAACTCGCATCTTGAGTCTGAAACTTTGATTCGAAATTCAGGTGACACCGAACTTCGTTTGCCAAGCGGGAGACCCCACTCTGAGCGGAAGGGGCGGGAGCTCCATGTTCAGTCATCTTTATGGAGAGCAAGCGCGGTATTTCGAAGCGGAAAGCCAGCCCCGATTGAAACATCTGAAGCTGGGAACGCTATCGATGGTCAACAACGGTGAAGGGATGTTGGGCTCTCAATTTCTCATAACTTTGAGCGACAACCTCGACTACTTAGATGAGCAGGGACATTGTGTCTTCGGAGAGGTAAGTGTGCTCTGTCATCATAATAAGATCATCTGTTGTGATGGTGATCGGCTTCCCGGATAACTTTTCAAGGCTCGCCTTCATTCACACAATATTGGCAATTCATCTTCGATCGCAAGACGAAGAACTGTTCCTCATTCAGCTCAATTCCCTCGCAGGTTGTTGAAGGCATGGAGTTCCTCGAGAAAATCAACGAGGTCATTTGTGACAAAGACGAGAGACCTATGCAAGACATCTTGATTTCGCACACTGTGATCCTGGACGATCCTTTCGCAGAGCCCGAGAACTTGGAATATCCGGCATCCCCCGAAGTTACCCTCGAGATGCTGAAATCCGACCGTATCGCCTGTTATGAAGACATCGCCGAATATGAAGGCCGCACAGCAGAAGAGATCGAAGAGGCGTTGAAGGAGAAGGAAGCGAAAGCTCAAGCGACGGTCTTGGAAATTATCGGGGATCTCCCAGACGCGGACATAGCACCTCCGGAGAATGTTCTCTTCGTCTGCAAACTCAACCCGGTGACGAACGATGACGATCTCGAGCTGATCTTCTCGCGTTTCGGAGAAATCAGAGGTTGTGAAATTATCCGCGACAGGAAAACGGGGGAGAGTCTTCAGTACGCCTTCATCGAATTCGCCAACAAGGAGTCTTGTGAACAAGCTTATTTCAAGATGGATAATGTTCTCATTGACGACAGAAGAATCCACGTCGAC